AAGTATTAGCAATTTAATAAAGTTAGAAAATGACCATAGATCACTTTTGCATCAGATATATTTAACACGTTCTGCATTTTCTGTACACTCTAGTGTACACAGATATGTAACAAACATAAATGGATTAGTTATATAACCTTAATAGGGTGAGATACAACCTCAATAAGATGAAGAAATTTCAAATGATTATATTGGATATTTTCAATTATTTAAAAATTTCGAATATTACGGAAGTATTTTAATACCTTGAAAAGTACAATACCTTAATCATTAAAACATTGCTGTAGTTACCTATTCTCTAAAATAGGAGTTCATCACTCTAATCATGTAGAAAGTAATCCAGTGTTGCGTGACATCCATTTACATCTTTAGTGACATTATATTCATGGCACTTTATGCTGCATTCATGTCACTCTATGGTTTTTTATTAAGTCGAAATGAATTGTTACATGAATGTTGCGTGAGACTTCACAACAATATTACAGTATAACTTCACAACAAAGTCGCAGCGTGACTTCATAGCGGTGTCACAATGCGACTTCACATCAAAGTCCCAATCTGACTTCACATCAACATTGCAATGTGACGTTGCAAAAAGCGGACATTAAGCCTTCCTACAACGTTACTGCGACATTGAGGTCGTCGCAATGCAACACGTTTGCAATGTTGCAGCGACGTGCCGTGCTGTTGGGGGACAGGCCTTAGCTTGGGAATCCCATCATTCGCTTCTGCCGCTATAGAAAATTATGTCTTATAGACTTGCCAAGATGTCTTTCTATCGTATGTGGGTGGATAACTTCAGAAAAGGACGAGAAGGCGTGGGTAAAAATTTAAAACCATCACTATTGCTCCCTACCGTCGGTATGAATTTCTTTAAGATATCAACTTCTTTGGCGATCGCAGAAACCTGTCATCAAATTTATTGTTCAATGGCAGAAACTCTCTCTTCTATTTGTTCTTTTATGGAAGATACTCTTTCTTCTATTTGATCTTTTACAGAAAAAATTCTTCAATGTGTCCAACTTTACTTTTAACAGCGTCAATTCTGCCTTCCATAGCCTGGAATTTGTTTCCTGTTATGCAGGTAATTTCTTTTTTCATTTCCTCTTGACCTGCTTCAATCTTTTGTTGAATAGCCTTCATTTCTTCCTTAACAGATTCCTGATCAGCTGTCATCTCCTCATTTAAGAGCCGTTCCCACCGAGTTTAGCTGAGCTAAAGGAGTCAGTTCCATGTGTCGACTAGCTTCGCTATGCCTGCAGTTCAGATTTTTCAACTTACTGCCCCATGGGAAAAAACTGGTTTTGGAGATGGGTAGGCTACGTCAGTTGTCTCAGATAAACCTCAGTGTGAACGGCCCTTTATGGATTCCTGATCAGCTTTCATATCTGCTTTTTAAATGCAACAAAGACTGACACAAGCTGTCTTAACTGCTCTTCCATTGGCCTTGTTACTGGCATTCAATCTCACTTTCGACACCAAAAAGTGTTGCGTGTATAGAAGTTCGTAACAGATTGAATGCACAAGTCTGAATAAAAGGTTAATAAAATTCATTCTTATCAAGATATATAACAGAATGCTGGAATTTTCCTCAGAGATACTTACAAGTGTTCACAATATCATACAATATAATCATTAGTTATCCTTTAAACTACTAAAAACGTCAAATAGAACGCAATCCACAGCACATAGAAAGCTAATCCGATCAACAATAACAACTGAGCTGAAAAGTTCTCTCTGGGCTTTTTATAGCTTTTAATGGGTGAGAGAGTCTAGTAATTTTTACTTCTCGGGATTTCTGGAAAGCAAAAGAGTAGAATTACGGTTACAGCTAACACAATAGTCAATTACATTTATTCAAATTAAATATAAATTACTGAGATAAACTTTTATTGAAAGTTAAATGCACATGCTCCTTTTTCTTTTTTTACTTTTTCTGTATAGCTTTCTCTTTACACTTGTCTCGGGCTGCATTGCATGGGAAATTAAAACAATTTTAATTATAATTCTACTAATATTAGGCTATCTAAATACAAAATTCATAACAATGCTTTTTCTAAGTGTTGCAGTTTTAGGGGCACCAATTTTAAAGTCAATCACATTAAATTTATATTTATAAAATATAAACAAGCAATAATTTCTTTTCAATGATACTTTTCAAAATACCTTGAGTATTAAGAAACCTAACGATACTTGCATTCCCATGGATTTCATTTATCTTAATTTTTTGTATTTTCCTTTTAGTTTTGTAGATGGTAGCCTTCTGATTAAGGATGGCACACTGAAAGTTAAGAAAATGTAATTATCAACTGTGAATTTCCCCCTTCTTATTTAAATTTCTTATGTATATATTTGTTTTAGTATTATTCTATCTATAAACTATATACATATGTTAATTTGAAGTTGAAATAACACATTTATTATTCCAGAATATATTCCTTAATTTGGTTAAACAAAAGATTATGTGATCTGTGACATTGCTACTCCACTCTACGTTTGAATTACTACCATACTCATAGTCACCAAGATAACTTTCATATATATTATGAGATTGTCACTTATGTTTATATTCAAATTTTTTAAACTGGTTAATCAGTCACCCTTGAAATCATTAGAGCTTTATTTTAAATCTACGCCAACCTAAGGCTTCTTTTACCCAAATTTTCAATTCTACATCTGGAGAAAGTAATAAAAAATGTGACTTAAAATTGCCATCATGCTCCTTAAGAAATTTCTTTCTTTTTTTTGAGCAGTTTGGTCAAGCCATATACTAGGACTGGATCAGATTATGGCAAAAGCGCTCAAGAGCTCTTTGCCTAAGCAAAAATCTTGTGGAAGGGTGGGATACCCTAAGGGAAGTGATACCTTTGCAGAGGACATTCTAAAGGAAGCTGGGTCGTATTCAATTTATGCATGGCGAAAACCACAAAAATTTTCCCGCAACCAATCTGTTTGTCTATTCTCTGGGATTGAAAATCTAAATTGAAATCATAGTGTTCAGTGATTTTACCACTTGGTTGCTGGCAGGCTACTGTGCATTTAGAGTTGAGCTAATGATTTTGGCTGAGTAAGTTAAATTTGACAAAAGATCAATAGATAAGCATGTTTGAAGAATATAAGTTTACTGTCTAATAATTAAACAGATTCAAAAATGTTTTTAGAAGTCATTCATAGACTATGCAAGTAATAAAAATATTTCTTAAACAAAACTAACCTAAAAAATAAATTTCATTATATGCATTTCTCAAAAAGAAAAATAATACAAAAATCCTTTAAGATTTTATATTACACCCAAAGGGGCGTTTTTGAATGTTTTGCATGTTACCCCTGCTTATTAAATATCATGTTCTTTGTACTTAAATCATAAAATTCAATTCAACAGCATTATCACCAAATATTTAAAAGAGTATATCTTTAGAATTTTCGATACACAGTCTCACGCACTGGAGATGAAAATGTCTCCCCCCACATTGCTCGCTTTGAAATCATTGAGTTTGTTAATATCTGACAAAACATGAAATCGATAATAAAACAAATTAATTAGTAAATTAGAGTTTCCAGATTGCCCATATTCGGTGGATGATTACATCATTCAAAATTTGATGGTACTGTTGTTTTATCAAATGCGAGAAACATACATACATTTATGTAGATTCTTCATTATTTCTCTAAATGTAACACAGGGCGATAATATTTGGTGGCAACAATTTGAAAAGTGAAGCGGGCATTTAAAGTTTTCAACGCAAAATGCCAAAACGGAATTAATAGCCCTCCGGGGCTAACGCCCTTTGGGCTAAAAAAAAAAAAAACTAATTTTTTAAAACTGGTTGAGGGTCAAGAGAATCTTGTCATATAAATATTTTTAATGGTTGCATTTCATGTACTTTACCGATTTAAAATTATATACAATAAAATTAAACACAGAACAAAAATTTATACATTTATTATATTACAGCTACAAAAGGATGGCTTGATAAGTATATGGTAAAAATTATACACTATATTAACATAAAACACATTGCTTACATGAAACTGACCAGCAATAAACTATACAATTTCTTCTTCCATGGAAGGTAACACAGCATAAAAGGCAAGCCTTAATGAAAACATAGCTGCTTTTCTACGAGGACGGATTCTATGCAGTTTAGTAAAGTGATGAAATTTCTTGGTAACAGGTCATAAATACGATTTTACTAGGCTTTTATGATATGTAGAAGTGTCAAAAAAGCAAATACCAGTAACAGAATGAAGGCACTATAAAAGATTCCAAAATAATTTTGCTCTGAAACACAGCATTTCAAAAGGAGGTCTCCAGCAGTCATGATAAGTAAATATATTTAAATCTGTTCAATGACGATTTTTTTTTTTTTTTTTTTTTTTTTTAAATTTGAAACTTATTTTTTACCACAATTGCACAGTATGGAAAACTATTCAATTCATAGCAAGCAAAACATAAGATGAAGACTTCATTCTAATCAAGTTGTTTAACATTTCAGTAAATAAATTTTTTTAAATACATGATATAAAGAATAAAATTTTAACATGGTTGATAAAAAAATCAATATTATAAAACAGACCTAATTGTTCTTATGCATTTTAAATTCATTTATTCATTTTAGTTTTTCTAATTGGCATTACTGAATATATGAGCAGTAGTAAACTCCATTCTTCACAAAGCAGTACAGGAATCTTCAATATTTTTACTATAACACCTATCTTTGATTATCGTTTCTTACATACTAAGCATCTTATTATAATTAAAAAATATATATGAAATATGCTTTAAATTTCTCAACAATAAATAAAAGTAATCACAGTATAAATGGTTTTGCATACTATAAAATCAATATCCTTTAAAGCACTGTTTAGTATTAACTTAATCTGTACATTTATTTTACAATAAATAGCAGAATTGTTTCATTATTTCTAATTATTTTATATATTTTCAATAAGGCACAGACAGAGAAATGAAAAAATTATATAAAATTTTATCAATCAAATTCAAAAATTTTAAATAAAAAATTTTACAAACTGTTTATATAACACAAAAGTTCAAACTTACTTTATACAATATGTGTAATTTAACACATGGTTTAAATAATAAACTAATAAATATATTTCTTATTCCTATATTCTGCAGGACTTATTATAGACTAAATCTTCTGTTCCTTTCAAATCAATATTCACTCAACACACACACTTACAAAAAAGTTACCATTTGCATTTAAAATCTCGCTAAATCTCAATTTTTCATTTAGAAATGTGTTAAATCAAAAATTTTTGTAAATATTGCAAAAATTAAAGTGATTTATACAAAATACTGTACAAATGTTTCTAAACATAATTTTATAACCGTAAATAAGTTTAAAATTTTATATACCTTAATGGATGAATTACAGCATATAAATCTGGTATTGAAAAAGAATTATTAGGAAAAAAATATGGTTATTTACTGTTACATATTGCTATAGAGAAAAACATTGTCTTTTTCACCTTTCTTTAGAAAGTCAGAACACTAAAAGAAACATATCCGATATAAATACTTAATAAAAAAAACAGTGAGAATATAATTTTGGAATTTTTAAAATTTAAAATAATGGGTTTTAAATTAAGTGTAAAAAAAACACGTTCTTAAGCTAATAAAACTTAAATTTAGCAATCAAACAGTTTTCTCCCACCCTTCTTTCTATGCACACACATATGCTGAAAGTTTTTATTATTGCATTTTAAAGCTTTATCACTGTTAACAGGCACATTTTAAGGTATCAACTCTTGTCAAATTATTCATTAAAAGTGAATAGTTCCATACTTTTTCCATTAAGAGTAGAGATTATAAAAATATTTCAGCATAGAAGACTTACAAATTAAGCAACTAACACAATACAGAAAATAATTTGCACATTTTTAACTTAGTCTTAAACTGGTGCAAGTGTAAAAGTTTAAAAACATCGTGAACAATTTAAACAGTTCTACTTTATTGCATTCACTTGGTCCCTAAGCAAAAGCTTAAAATAAAATAATAAACATGGATCTCCTACAGTAAAACAGTTTTAAATTTACTGATTGCACACAAATATTTGCCACTGGGACATCGGTGAAGGGAAAGAAATTAAAAATATAAAAGTTCATGCTCATATAAATTAACAACATGGAATCATGCTAAAATTCTATGCAATTCTTCTGTTGATAAAATCAACCTGATTAAATGTCAACATAACAGTCAGCTGCACTATTTCACTTAAGCTGTATAATGACTTTTAAAAACACTCATACATTAACAGAAAAATTCATATTTTAATAATCAGCCACTTAATAGAACAAATCGTAAGTTTCTTTTCTGAAAATTAAGAAGGTCATGACTTTCATTGGAATAAACAGAAAAGTGCACATTGCTAGAAGCATGTTATAGATATAAAGTTGTTTCATGTATTTAATTCAGACGTAATTAATACTGGTTCATGGGTTTCACAGTGACATGGTTGTTATGAAGTTATCTAAATACATATTACAGATATTCAACACAAATTTTTAAACTAGAAGTCTATACAAAATATCAAAAATCTTTCTTTACAAATGCAATATATACTATCATGACAATATATATGTTCTCTTATATAAAACTCTCCAGTAGGTTTTCCTTGATTACACTTCTAAGTATAAAAAAAACTCAAAATGGGACATCCAGTGTATAGCGGCATAAAAATGTCTGTAAAAGAAATTTTTAAAAATGATATACATAAGCATCATTCTTTTCCTTTCATGGTAAGACACACAAAATGCTGCCCATGAATAAGTAGAATTTCAATACATAAATACATTATTAGCAGATTAACTGCCTACTTAATTGCTCAGTTTCCATTTAAATTAGTTTCAATATCCCTTTGAGCCCGAGATATTTTTACTTTATCTTTTGGAGTTTCTGGCTCTCCAACTTCTTGTGCAAACATTTTCATTTTCTCTTTGAACGTTAACTTTTCAGGGCCAGGATTTTTTGTAGTACCCACCTGCTGTGTGCGTTCAGCTTCAATACGCTGACGAGGATCCCGATAAACCTCCTGAGTACCTATTACGCCTGGAGTGTTACCAGGATTGTAAGTATTAAGGTTCTGACTATTATGAGGGGTTGCAAGAACCTCATTAATGTCATCTAATGTGTATGAGGACCCACCAGAACCCATCACATCATGATTTCCATTAGAATCACAGTCAACATTCTCCACAGAAGATTCGTGGAATGAAACTTTTTTGGGGTAATGTGGAGTACCATTATCACAATTCCTCATTGAAGATGAAACATAACGGTTGCCAGTCATAGCAGACATTTGATTTGTGACTTCGTAAGATGACTTTCGAGCAGGAGGTGCTGGAGGTTCTTGTAATTTATCATGATTCAACATTGAGTTTTGTTGATTCTGATATGATTGATTTAATCGCTGATTACGCAGTGATGTTGATTTCTGACTACTGACAGTCTGATAACAAGGTTCACATGGAGGAGGTGATGTAGGTAAGGGAGGAGGAACATCTTGATTTGAGATTTCAACTCGATTAATTTTTTCCGTAGTAAAATTTACTGTGGATTGCTGATGATTAACTGCTGAATGTTGTTGGTTGTTTACCATTATCTGGTGGTTCATAGGTGGTTGGCTGGGACGATTTGGTATCTGATGAGGGACACTATTGGGTACCTTAAATTCATCCTGAAATATATTTAACAAATAAATTTATAAAAATTATTGTACAATAATAGTACAAAATTAGAATGTAAAAGCACTTGAATACTTAAGTTCTAAGTATGTAAGAAATTTAAGCATTCTGAACAATTCAAGAAAATTAATCTTTTGAAGTTATTCAACAGTAAAGAACAACACCTGATACAATTTACCAAACACATGGTTCAAAATACATAAAGGTTCTAATAATCTGAATGTTAATACAAATACAACCAAAAAGATATTATACTTCTAATATTGCTTTCCTCTTCCCCAAAAAGAAGGAAGTATGACTTTTTTTGTTATTTTGTATAAATGCACTAGTAAAGTAACTAACTAGGTATCATGCAAACACTGTTAGAAAGGGCAGATACAAGATAATATTTTCTACAGAAAAGGGGGGGGGAAGTGACATAAAAGTATATTAGGTGTTCTACTTTAGATGTTTGTTAAGGACAAATTAATGAACAATGTCTAAGTCCATATATGGTATATGTCAAATCCACTGGTAATTTCATTGTTTTTGTAACAATAATAATAAATAAATAAATTTGATGTGTACACCACATGGCTTCCTTGTACAGAATATTAAATTACATGCACTTTTTCTTGCATTTCATTTAAACTCATTGGATTGAATTAAATCTACTTCGTCGATAGCGCATTAACCACAATAGAATAAATACACTCTTTAATATGCACTATATTTGTTTACTATAGGGACACTCTGGTGCTAGGCTCACTTAACAGCATTATATTTTGTTGTTCATATTATAACTCAGAATGCACAAAAATTATATCATGTTCTATTCAAATACTATAATTAATATAAAAAGATGTATAAAAGAAATTAAACAAACCAGAAAAGAAACAGTTTTTTACAGATGATTCAGTATTTCTCATTCAATTAATTCAGTTCTTACTTCCCGACAAGGCAAAAACTATTTCCTCGAAAAAATTCCAGAAAAGATTAAGCATGATTTAATTCACAATAATAAATGAAGGCGGTATCTTTGTTGCTGCGATGCTTAGTCTCTCTAGATTGGAAACAAATCTGCTATTCTGCTGTTTCAAATGTACACAAACATGTCCACCATGTTATTTAAAAATTAGGCTTAAAAAGCTTTTAAATTGTTGCCTCTTAAACAGCTTTTAAATTGTTGATAATTCTAAAAATATTGCTTGCAGATTTCCTAAAGGCATAAAAACCTTAACCGGAAGATAAGATCAACAAAATTCAATCATTTTTAAAGCAAAAAATGCACAATTTACAAACATACAAGAGTAAAGAAACTGAGATCACTGAGCCAGGTAACAGAGTGGATACATATATATATATATAAATATATTTATATACGTTTGGTGTGGCTGATTGCAACCAAAATACGAGGTGCACATCTACATGCTATAGCAGTCCTATATACAAAATTTCAACATTCTGAGGCTACTCATTTTTGAGTTACGCGAGATACATACGTACAGACACCATGAAAAAATCTTTTCAGAATTCATTTTAAAGCAGTTTTATAATTTTTTTGGAGGGGGAAAAAGTCTTATTCTGTCCTTACATACAGATGTCATGCAAAAACATTGTTAAATTGCATTCGATAGCGATCAAAATGCATATTTTCGTTGAAATATGCTGCCTGAAACTTTTCACGATTACAATAGTTTCATTTAACAAACTCAGTAAAACCAGCTATAAGAAGAAATATTAAAGAAAATAGCTACAGCAGAAAGGGTCATAGCAAAACTCTCAAAAGAATAAAGCATTTTTTTTAGTTTATTGTAAAGCCCCTATCACATATGCTTCCGCTACGTGGGACTGAACATCTAAAGGGACATGTCTCAGAACCCACACATTTTCATGGCAGCTATGTAGCTGGGTTACCATTTTCACTTGCCAAACAGTAATCGATTATCACTCAGATTGGGATTGAATGATCCTTCAGAAGCAGAATATTCACTTGATTGGTTGATTTCTACACAGGACAGTGCTGCACATGGAAAATTTTTGGCAAAGTTTCAAAATATCCTGCATAGCTGGGACATCATTTGCGTAGCTAAGTGGGACTTTGTTTCCAGCACAGCCGTTTTTTCTAGGAATTCTTCTGTTTAAACGAATGCTACCAGAATCTCGTTTCTCAGACAAGTTCTGTCGCTAGATGTGATAACCCCTTAAGGATGAACAAACAAATGTTTATTAAACTGATGCACTAAAATTGAGAAATTAGGAGGGTCATCTTTATTTCCCTCATCACTAGCTAAAGCCCTAAGAGTTCAACCTTACACTGCCAATGCTGATGGAAAAATGTATTCTGTACGTATATACATATAACAACATACAAAACCCAAAAAAAATTGATACATCTAAACTTGGACTGAAACCTCAGAAAGTCACATTCCTTATATAATAAGCATTTCACAGCTGTATTCACTGGAAGCTGATAGAACATAACCAAATATTAGATGCTATCTATGCTCAACAGCTAACAAGAGTTCAGAAAATTGTTCAGACAAAATGCTCAGTACTAGCGAGTAAGTCCCTTTCTAGCATAACACTAAATTAAAAAGCTATATATATAAAATTAGAAAGCTCTCAGATTTTATATTACTCTCAAAGGGGCATTTTTTATCATTTTGTGCGTTATCTCAAAGGGGCATTTTTTTATCATTTTGTGCATTATTTATTAAATATCATTTTCTTCTCAAACAAACCACATAAAATTCAATACGGCAGCAATACCAAAAAACATTTAAAAATAGCATGCATATCTTTAGAAATTCTGTTAGACAGTCTCATTTGCTGGAGATAAAAAGTTTTTCTTTCTTTTCTTTTTTTTTTTTTTTCTTTTCTTTTTTTTTTTTTTTATACAGTGCTCATTGCTCGCTTTAAATCGTTCAGTTTTTTAATAAAAAATTTTTTTAAAGTTTTACAAAATGTGAAATAGGTAATAAAAAAAAATAAAACATTCAGGCTTCCAGGTGTCTTGGTTGGAGGATTACATTATTCAAAATCCGATGGCTCTAGGTACCGCTGTTTTTTCACAATGCAAGAAACATACATACATTCATGCAGATTCTTCATTATTTATTTTTTAAAAACATAATATAGGGTGATAATATTTGGTGGCAACAATTTATAAGAAGTCATTCTCCATTTATAGTGAAACATCACAAAATGCTGTTTTTAAACTAATAGCCTTTCTGGGCTACTACCCCTTTGGGCTAATAATACGCACGGAAGTTATCATACATTAAAAACACATTGTGTATTCCAAAGAACACATCCTTAATGATGTTTAGTAGGTGATTTATTAACTAGTTAAGATTAAAACCCATACTAAAAGCTAGATTCTAAAAATCTTCTTGTTACTTTGGAAACTCAGTGCTTCCAAATATATCCCAGTAATGTTAAGTAGTTTCAATTTCTAATTTATTACTGAGTTATGAAATTTTTTGAGTAATTTTTACCTAATTAACTGTCTGTTTCTAAATAATTCAGAAACAGATACCGATAAAGGATTATTTTTGGAGTTTTTTAATTTTTTAAACAGTTATGTAGTTTGCTTTTTTTTGGGGGGGGGGTTCCTTTTTTTATTTCTTTTTAAGTTCCTTTTATAATATATATTCAAAAAAATACTATAGAATACAGATTAATTTCATCTTTTATTCCACAAAGTACAAAATGAGGCTTATACAAGTAAGTTATAGTATGAACAAACTAGCAAATAAAAACAAATAAATAAAATTATTTGAAATGTTTCAGATTTTCACAATCTCTTTCTGAGCTCGCAGTCTACCAATCTGCTGTTACATTCACTTCTACTATCACTTTTTTCCAGATACTCTTTGTGGATAATACCACGGTATTCCTACCAGATACAAAGCCTGATCTTTCTGTTTGTCAAATTGCGCTTTGCAACGGTACCAACGGGCTCGCCGGGTGCAGGCCAAACCCCTTTTTTGCCTGTGTTCTTGAAGAAAATCCACTTTTCATCACAAGTGATAGTTCAATAGACAGTCTTGAGCACTGGAGATAAAAATATATATATATTTTTTCCATACAGTGTTGCCGCCACTCACTTCGAAATCAGAGTTTGTCAATAAAAAATTCCTTGAAGTTATATAAAATATGAAATAGATAATAAAACAAACTTGAAATCCAAAATTTGGGCTTTCAGATGCCCATGTTCAGGTGAAGGACTACTTTATTCAAAATTTGATGGGTGTAGGCATTGTTTTTTCACCATGCAAGACATGCATACATTCATGCAGATTCTTCATTACTTAATTTCTTTAAATATAATACAGGCGATAATATTTGGTGGCTGTAATTTGAAAATAAATATATTGTTTATAGTGATTCAACACAAAATGCTGTTTCAAGACTAATACCCATTCGGGACAAACATCCCTTTTGGACATATATATATATATATATAAAAAGATGGATCTGAATTGGGAAACAGGTCACATCTTTTGTACTTCTTCTATATTCTCGTTTCATCTACCTACCCCTAGTTTTACTTTTTAAATGCTTACAATGTTAAGAAGTATAACAACACTATTATGAAGTACTTTTTTATACCATAAGATAGGAATTTCTGTAGAAAAGAAATTAAAAAGTCATTAAGTACTGAAGAAATGTATTACAACTCACTTTGAAACACTAAAAAATACAACAAATGATTGATTGGTGAATTTATGATTTTTGATGACCAAAAATATATTTTTTGATTATACCTCAAAAAAGTTTATGTGGCACAACTTCCTTTGAAAGTAATCAATGTGGAAATCTGGAACAAAGACTTCAGATTTATATTTGGTTTTAAGTGATATTGCTATAATTTTTATTATTATTCAACTAAATTTCTTTTCTAATTAAAAAATACTAAATGTAAGTTAAAAACAATGGAACAAACCTGACGTCGTCTTGCTTCTCTGAGCAATCTTTCTTCTACATTCTTTGCAGCTTCTAATTCTCGTTTTCGTTGAACTTCCTCTAATCGCAACTGACGCAAACGACCTTCTTGCTCCTATACAATATATCAAGATATTAGAATGACAAAAAAGAATGTAATAAATTCTACTATAAATGGGTAATTCTTTAGTTATTTAGAAAAGGAAATGCTAGAAACTGCTGGAAAAATGTAAAAACAATAGGGGGGGGAGAATCTCTTAGAGCTATGTACAAGCTCTCGTAAACTGAAATTAAAAATTTAGAATTTTCTTGAAAGCCTAAGCTATCTCCAACTGAAGAATTTTAAAGAAGACTCTTCCAAAAGGCACATTCTTTGTATTTTTTTATGGGTAGAATATTAGATGAACAAACAATACACTGATAAAATTCTGTGCTCTACTGACAATTATTCATTCCCTCCTTGTTTCACAGCTGAATTTTCAAAACTTCACTTACTCTGCGTTTTAAATTAAGTACTGAAGCACATCAAACACTCGAATATCAATGGAGATCTTCAAAATAAATACCAGCAGTGCAGACAGAGAAACTTATGGAACAATTTCTAACGATAAATAAATTAAGAAATTTCTACATTTCCAAAGTAGTCTTAATTTAATAAAATTTTAATGACTAAAAATCTTTCAACATTTTAAACAAAATTAACTACAGGGATATTTTTTAATCTGATAATGGAATTATCTTTTCCAAGCTTTATTTATCCTCTAATTAAACACCACATATTACAAATGAAGCACTTTAAAAAAAAAAAAAAAAAAAAAAACCTGCTGATCTAAGGGACATACATAATTCTAAAAGTATTTGCTAACGGTTTCATGTCCCTTGTTGAAATTGAACATATTCATGACTTTCAGGCTTATTCTATCCCCTGCTCAAATATTCATTCATTTTATTTTAAATGCTTATGATTATAATAGCACTTCATACCTGACTATTTTCAGAAAATTTTGGTCTAAAAGGTAGAAGCATGAGAATATGCTACCCTTGTGGTCATTTACATTTGTGCTCAGTTTTCATTTATAAATCATTAATAATATAACAACAGTTCTTCATTTTAATGACAATTAAGATACTTTTGAATTATTAGATATTTTAAACACACAAACATGCATACCATACAGACCAAAAAAGCAAAAGGAAAAAAGTTCGAAAATAAAATGGAGCATTAATAAATTTTAACATAGTTTATTCACATTTGATAGAAAATAATGAAGTCTCAAATCAATATGAATATCAGGAATGTTTTTATTTTTTTCTGTTAGGGAAAGACAATTTTATATATGTTTTTCTTTAAAAAAAATTCAATGATTAAGCTGAAAGAATCTATCTGCCTAGTACTGTTCTAAAATGCAAGTATTAATACTTTTTTAAAGACAATTTTTGTAAAAAAAAATTATAAGAACTTTTCTTCAGAGTCTACTATTTCAGCTGATAACAGCTGTTTAAAGCCAACATACATAAACTAATACATTCTTATTTTTGAAATACATTGAATAATTAACAGTTTATATCACTTTTATATCAGCTTCCCGTTATAGTTACCCAGACTTGTTTTCAAAGATTGCAATAACCATAATCTCACTATTGAAACAGATTTAACAAATATTTCATCAACTTCAGTTACAAAGGAAAGAAATCAATACATTAGTTTTCTTTTCTTTTCTTTTTTTTCATACAGAACATTTTCTTGGTGTGTTGCACATTAACTTTCTTTAGTTGTGTACTTTATTTGTTACTGAAATTTAAACTCACATTCTTCCAGTCAGAATTCCCTTATTATATATTACAATGTCTTACTACTATATATGTATATATACACTACAAAAAGCCTAATGCTGTGGAAAAAGATTTATTATTATGCATATGTTTTATAAACTTACCTTACAGAATCACATTTTCCCACCCTGGCAAAAACATTTAAGGACCCACGTGTGTTACTTGATGATCTAGCCAGAAGCTACTTTTCCCAGTACGAAATTTGGCAGTTAGTCAGAATAAGATACGTGTAAGTTTTAAATTATGGTTTAGGCTGGACTAGTAAGCACATTTTTTTTGGTAAACCTTTTTTATTTAAAGTTTTTACTACTCCATTTTGTATTCAGGAATAATGTTATGAAATAAATACTTAATACATCACTTTTAGTTCCATTTTATTTTTCTCCAAATTTCTCTAAACATTCATTGTTTAAAGTAGCCTTAAAAAAAAAAAAAAAAAAAAAAAAAAAAAAATAAAACAAAAATTATGATTATGAAATCAAAAATTTTAGGAACTGATCCAATGCATCTAAACCCAGCACCCATTTGGAATGTAACACATAACCTCACGTCAATTTTTTTTTTTAATATTCTTCACAAGTTTCATCCGATAAAAGTACATGTTAGCACCTTAGGAAATTTCCAGTTATAATATTATTCAGATGTATATAAAAAACTAACCTCTTAAGGATTGCATTATTATAAAAAAACCATTCTAAAAGTATCCATATTTTTACTTAAGATGCTTCAAAGTGATTATATTCTGGAGTGAAAAAAAAACCATTTTCTATTTTAGAATAAAGTAAGCCAACGAAAAAGAACATTTAATTCTATAAAAAAAATATATATATAACAATTTTGTATCTAAATCTTGGCTTTTTCATGATATATATATATTTGTGCAAGGATGTTACCTTTTAATTTTAGTGTCTTGACACTTCCACAGATAATATAAAAATATTAATAGCAAGTGAAATTTCGTATTAAATTGTCCAAGTGATAAAATGCCTTCATAACTGCTTTCAAAAATCAATTTATTTCAGAGTCACCACTGGATACAATGATATTATATCATCACCTGAAAGGCCTATTTTGCATGATTCCATAATGTGCACAAACAGCAAACATTTTTTTAAATCAAAGAATTATGTGAATGCTGCAAAGACCAAGGAGCCTAAAATCTGCTATTACTTTAAACTCCATACATGTAAGCGTGACAGTCTTCCTAAATATAATCTAAAACAACAGGACTTTCTCCTAGCTACAACATCCAAGTTAGACAGTGAATTATTTAATACATTCTTTCCCTACAAAATTTCAGCTCAGGAATATAATATTATAGGCACCTATAATACAAATAGATACTTCAGCCACATACAATGACAGAAATAAACAGTTATGGGTTAAGTAAAAATCACCCTAATACAAATAGATATTTCAGCCACATACAATGACAGAAATAAACAGTAATGGGTTAAGTAAAAATCACCCTAACTTTTGCTGAGCAAACAAGAAATCAAATTTATTTCGTTCCCCCCCCCATAATATATATATGGCTATAGATTAACCTTCAAGAACTAAAATGATCAAAATCAAATACCACAGTAGTTGCAGTTTACAGAATTTCTACATTACCCTTCCCTCTTCTAAGACAAGAGAGTAGAAGGAATGATCAATCTTGGTATCATTGGAAAGCGACTTACTTGGTATCATTGGAAAGCGACGTTTTCATCAAAAAGCTTTTCTTGAATTGTTTGTTTTTTCTATTTATTCCTTTATTTAATTACATTTATTTTAAATTTACTACCTCTAATAAATCTTTTTTGAAATGAGTAATCTTGCATAAATGATATTTCAAAAAAGAAGGGGAAGCAGCATGTAATATGAGAATATCCATCTTTTTAAATGTCTTAAAGATTCCATTGCCTGGGTTCCAAAAGAGTTAAAATTAAGCCCATTTTCTAAACAAAAGAATGCAAATATTTAAATCAGCAATGACATTGTTTTAAAACATAGTTATACCTCTAATGACTGCTGCTGCCTCTTCCAATCATCATTGTGGTTTGATTGTTGTTGTAACTTCTGTTGAGTTTGATTTTGCTGCATCTCCCATTCTAAGCGACGCTGTCGAGCTCGCTCCAAATCTTCCTGCATTTTTAACTTGCGTTCACGGTTTTCAGCTCTATCCAACAAATCCTGGTGAATTGAGAGCTATTTAATTTCGGTAAACAATGTTTCCACAGAAAAAAAATATTTTCATGCACTGCCAGAAGTTTAATAGGATATGCAGCATAACATATTTAACTGAAATAAAACTGTAGTTCATCAGCAGTTAAAAGTTAACGCAGTAATTTATGTTAGCTAAGGTTATTTCTAACAAGTATTACATTGATCAATTTTACTACTGATAAAATTATTAGCGAATATTTTGTTGACTGCTCACACATGCATATTTAAATTTTGTTTCAAACTTGAAAAATTACGCAACAAAAAATGAAGTAAAATTTTGTTCCTGAGATGAATGATTCATGCTTTTAAATGAAATATTTTGAAGCAAAATACACAAAGATTTAATATTAATTTCTTTATTATGCATTACAACTACTGAAAAATCAAATATCAAATTATATATTAATATGCATTACAGAGGAACACAAGATCATTTTTGGGGATAAAATACTTCTCACCAAAAATATGCATTAATTTATTTACACAAACATTTTCAACATTTTGGAAATAACTTACAATATCAACCTAAAGAAATGAATCATTTAAGAAATATTTCAATTGTTTGACTATATTACACATTCAGGCAGATTTCACTTTTTTTACCATATATTTCAAAATTAAAATTCCATATATTTATTTTTAAACATAGCACAGCACTTACAAAACATTCAATGTATGACTAAAAAGATAAAATTAAAAAAAAAAAAAAAAAAAATGAAAGACACATTTCTAGAAATAATACTGTACAATACAGCAGGGAGGAAAAAATTAAAAATTTATCAGCAGAATATCCAATACTATATCATAGACAAAGACAAATCTACTACTATGCGTGTGGAGTAACACCCACATCATACAATGCAAGAAATTATTAAACTAAAAACTGATGAAGATTATATATGTATCCACAGCATAATATAATCAACTAAATAATACTGTGGGTCCACAATTTTTTTTTTTTTTTTTTAAGGAAATGTATATAATGAGGAGCACAGCGCCAACAACTATAAATTACAACTAACAGCAATTGAACAAATTACAGTAATAGCATTAGTATCATTCTGTTACATAGTTTAGCATAGGTTAAGATAAGCCGTATTTCATATTCAAGACATTTAGTTAAAACCACAGTAATCTTTTTCCATATATGCATTCAAATATAAAAGCTTTCTTTTGACAAATCCACACTTACTTCATCATCATCTTCCTCTTCCTCCCCATGGAGTTCTTCAGCTCTTCTTTGAAATTCTTGCTCTAATCTTAAAGTCCTTAAACGATCCTCTTGCTGGGGAGTGAGATGTGAACGACTCTCTAATTCACGGATTTCTTCATCACGAGCTCGTCTTGCCTCTTCAAGTCGTTGTTTATGCAACTGAAATTTAAATAAATATATTTTAGCATCGCAGTTAAAACTAATTTTTGTAAATAAATTAATTTAAACCAACTTTGCTAATTTTTGGATTATTATTTTAGTCCAATTCTACATACAATGTTGAAATTAATCAGTAACACATTTTACAATGCTCTGCATGCATTGTAAATCACCGAAGATCTATAAACAGCAGAACTAAATGGATAAAGTGTAACGTGCCCTAGAAAAGGAAGTTCTACCAAAATTATTTAAACTGCACATACCTAATAATTATACATCAGTCTCATAAATAAAACTCTATTAATTTTCATCATTAAAAACTTGTGTAAACTTGCGTTCATGTGCTCAATAGAACTCTTAAAATTTCTGGATTATTATAGATAATTTAAGACGCGGTGGCGCAGCAGCAACACAGGTCTGGGGTTCGATCCCTGATCTGGGCAAGGTCGACTCAGTCTTTCATCCCTTAATTTCTATATTTTGGATCGATAAAATGAGTACCAATTCACTTGGGGACTAAACACTGGGGGTCCTGAGACAAGTTGACCACTTGTTCAGGGTGTATGCTTACGCACCTCAGGGCCAACGGTCAAGAAAGCAGATTTCAGGGCACTGCAGGCATTGACCCACTAGGGCTGTTACGCCACAGAGTTTAGTTTTTTTAGATAACATAATTAAGTTGCCTAGATATTTTTAATTTTTAATATTTGTGTTTAATAATATAAAAACTGCTTAAAGCATTGTTATAAAGAATACTTTATGTCTTAACTGCACATTTATATGCTAGTAAATGTAATTAAATGTTACGATTTTCAGTGGATTGCTGGTAACTAACTCATAATTGTTGATACGCATTTAGGCCTTTTGAAGAAATCAGCAAATGAATAAGATCACCAAAATCAATCATTTCAGAAATTATTCCAGTATTAAATTGATACCCAAAATTAACTATCAATGTGTTATGAATTATTTGATGTTGGAACCATGAAACATACTGAAAGGTAGGAAACATTTTTCACTGATTAAGATTCCAAAAGGAAAAACTCCCCCCAATAAGAATCAATTTTATAAAGAAGAAGTTAACACTACTTCACTCCCATTAATAAAGATATTCCTTATCAAAATCTTCTCAAAGATAATAAAAATTATGATCCTATTAGTACGATCTATAAATCTTTTTGAGATACTGTTGTACAGGATGAGTATGTATTGTAAATGCTCAATGAATCTATGAGCAATCAATATTCCTTCAATTATTTAATTTAGGCAAAGCACACAAAAGAACCTGTCCATCTTAACTTTATCAAGTTTGACCAACAGATCTCCAGAAATGGAATGAGATCTTGTACCCTCAACCTTTTTTTGCTCCATGCACCCCTCTTTTCACCACTGCTAGAAAATCATCCCCTCCCTCCCATTTCCAAAACTTAAAATACATATGTACATTTATTTAAATTATTTTGTAACATGTTTTACAAAATAAACAAAAAGTGTAGAATATGCTAAATACCAAAATTAAAGTTTTTTTTTTAAATTTTAATATTTATAAACTAAAACTAAATACTTAACACCTAAATAAATGACTCGCAACATTTCCCCTTGAAACTATGGAACCCCTGGCTGAGATGATAAGTGGACTTTCTATTCAATATTTTTATCTGTCCTATTGCCACCAAGACACTACAATCACAATGAAAGCAACTAATTATCGTAATTTATCTAAAACATTTTAAGAAATAACTTTCTCCACCAGCTATTATGGTGGTTTTCAATCTAGAAAAAAGGAGAAGCACAAGATAATTTTACTAAAACTATGCTCAACAAATATCATTTTTACATTATGATTTCACCAATTCTGAAAATGAAAAAAGAATAGAAATCTCCAGTAAAAATGTTTTGAAGCATTAGTTGTAAAATTGAAACATTCACTAAAAAGAAAAGAATTGTTTTGTTTTTAATTAACAAATTTTGCTTTATTTTAAAATAATAACTTCAATAAAGGCCTTGATATGAATAAACGTAGAATTTTTCATATGTATTTAATTTGCCAGGTATTCTTAATTTTAAGCTGAATATCCAACATCTAAGTAGATAAACCAGACAGATTTGCTAGTTTCCTAGATTGCATCCCTAGTTTTATTATAAGAAACAAATTACAAATACATACCATTTATTACAATAAAGACTAACTCTGTGTAAGTTATATTAGCTTTTAAAAATAATTAAGGTTTGAATAACAACAAAACAAATTTCCATTTAAAAAATATGTTTCCTATTGAAGATTACACAGAAAATAACAGAACCAGGGGGTCACAAATCCCAAATAAATGTATAATTGTTCACCTGTACTTACAAGGTTCATTGAATTTAATTACATGCCCAACAATACAAATACTAATCTACTATTTGAAATGTAAATCATTACCAGTAAAAGCAATAAACAATTATCTTCCCCAAATTATTGCGGGAAAAAGATTTTATCTGACTTTTTTAAAGAGAAAGTCACTGAGATTCCCTAACCATTTTTCACTTCACTAACCTTCTAGTAGAATCACAACCCTGCAATTATAAAACATCAAATTTCTAGTTTAAGGAAAAATATGCTTATGAAATTTGTTCCACCTTATCCACAGATTTTTAAATTTACATCCATGTAAAAAATTATTTTAAACACATTGCTCATACTTTTTATTAGCTTTATATAAATTTGGATTGTTACCAAAAATTAAAACCAAATTAAGATTGATTTTACAACTTTTTATTACACACATTTTACTGCAAAGTGATGAAAACAATACCATAATAATTGCTTTTATTTAGATTTAATGCTATCTTATTTTAGCAACAGGAATAGAATATTTTTTCGCAGTTTCTTTGTGTGTGGGGAGTTTTTTATTATTTTTTTTTATTTTTAAAACTATTTTGCTTTTACTTCATGAAAACACATTTAAAATTTTATTCATATGATTCAAAACAATATTTAGATTAAAATTCAAAATAATTAAAAGCATGATTTTTTTCAAATTAGATATTTATTCACTGATTTTTTTTGAGAGTGGAGTGATTAGAATTTTGACTTTTAGATATATTTTATATTCTTATAATCACAAAGAGATCACATTACTTTATTCTTCATAAAAACTATTGCTAACATAGCATAAAATTAAGCACCCTATTAAAAACTGTGGATAAGCTTGTTTCAGTGTCTTTCAATAATAATAATAAAAACTCACAAATTAAAAAAAAAGGTCATTCATATACACACACATACCAAACTTTACACATGCTACATGCTTTCTTTTTAAAATATGTATTTTATTGTTTTTATACCAGCATATATTACTGTAAAATTATTAGCTCAACATGGTCGGTCATTAATAAATAAATATCATACTAGGAAAACTTCATAAGCCATGTCTGAATAAACAGAAACTGAATAAATCCATTCTGTTTCTTTTATATGTGCCTAAATCACTGGCCAGCATGGATTTATACAACAGTTCAAAATTAGAAATAACAGTTTCCCAAACCATAAAAGTAGCATTTATTATACTTTTTAAAAACAATGCACATGCGATTACATTTCTAAAGATATATTAAAACAAAAACAAAACAAAAGAAACTTCAAAGAATTAATTACCAACCATCGAAATAGTAACTCATAAACCAATATGAATATTTTATGCAAGTTTTATACATATCATACATGTATATAATTAAAACTACATTAATCAAATACATTAGCAAACACTGGAAATAATGCCTTTCGGACACACCAGCTCACATTATTAATTTGACATATCTGTCACACTTACGCAAAAATGGGCAAAAAATGCAAAGGACTCGGGTAAAGAAACACTCTTCAAAATAAAAGACATGCACATCGATCCAGGGATGATACAAAGACATCAAAACTCCATGTCAACAAGAGACATTAAACAAGAGGAAACTTACGAAGGTTAGAAGCAGCGAATAAATTTTGAAAGATCTAAGAATGCATACTCACAAGAGTATGAGTAGTATAATAAAAGGTGTCAGATATACCATTGGCAATCTAAAGGTAAAGAAATTGGTTAGTATTGATTAATATATAAAGATGAGTTTTTAGCAAATATGACAATCTAAAGTCAAATAACATGACAATTTGCATTTTAAAGAGTTAATAGTTAATAAAATCAAAAATATTCAGAAGCTTATTTTTACAGAATAAGTCAAATAATTAAAGAAAGTTCATAACATCATGTTTGATATACTAACTTTTTCCTTTTCTTCTCGTTCCCATGGAGAAGGACTCATAAGTTTTGATGTTTCTTTCTTTTCATGACCAGCCTGCTGTGGAAGTTCAAATGTTACACGTGAACTTTGGCTGAAAAAAAAAAAAAAAAAAAAAAAAAAAAAAAAGGAAATAACACTTGAATAAAGAAGCAATTTGTTATGGATCCCCCCCAAAATTTATAATGAATAACTCAGCTCACAAAAATTCTAAAATTCAAAAACAGTCACCTCATAGTTGAAGGCTTTCCATGAGGTGAAGTTATTCTTGGATCAGTTACCATTTGACGATTAATCTTCTGATCTGTACCGTCTTCAGTACGAGGTGGATATCCAGATGGCCCATATCGATAGCTGACATTCACAGGAGGTTGATGAGGCATTCTTGGACCTGACTGAGGAACATGACTATTACTTCCATCATGATATACAGCTGGATTTTCATGATTCACATATCCAGGTCTTGGAAATCTATCCATTGGTGCATTGTTATATAACTGTGCACGAGGTTTCGGTGCAGGTGGAGGTGGAGGTCCTGAATATGGTGCATGTATATGCGCAGATTGTTGAGGACCATGTTGATAATTAGGAGATCTAATGGCTGGATTGGGACCTCTTGGTAATGACCAATTAGTTCCTCGACCCATTTGGTGATGCTGTTGCTGCAAAAGCATTCTTTCTCGATCTTCACGCCTGCGCACTTCTTCTCGCATTTCTTCCATTTTAGCTTCTTGGCGTAACAGATCTCTCTGTCGAGGATCCATATGCATCATGTTATAATCTTGTGAAGGATGCACAGGATATGCTCTTGAATTCAACTCAGGATGTGACATGCTATCAGAATATGCCCTTATTTCATTTTCTACTGGTCGCAAATGGTCTGCACTGCGGAAGTCCCTGAAATGGCCATAATTAATTCAGGATTTTATATGCTATTAAAGAAATATTCTTATGATAACTAATTTTTAAACAGTAAATTTACAGCTGTTATTTAATCTTAAGAATAAATAACATGACGATCGTACGTTAAAACAATAACAGATTATTTTACTAAAGAAAAGAATTAAGAGCTTATGCCAATTTAATACCTTTGATCAGGTAATGGCCGTGAAGGCGCATAACCTTGAGTAGTATGGTGAGAATCTACTGAATTGTGATGCAATGCTTTAGGAGACATTGGTGGCCCAGAATTGGAATGAACATAACCCATAGAACTTGCATATTGTTCTTGTTCTCGAGATGATACTAATGTTGATAAGGGTCTTGAGCGATCTGCAGCTGACTGCAATCCCTGAGGATCAGGTCTATTAAGCGATGATTGAGATCCATGTAATGACCTCGGTGGCTGCTGAGGATGAGGCTGAGGCTGAGATGGTGACCTTGGGAAAAAAAGGAGAATAAGTGAACTAAAATAAAGACTAAAATAATCTGTTTTAAAAAACCTTACAGGTACTTCTTATTCAAAAATTATAAGTCTGGATGGTGATGTTGTGTTGTGATTTATCTTACTTGCCTTACAGTGACATCAGAACAAGCCCATGAAATTCATCGTGGCAGTAGTGCAGGATTGTGTCCATCATTGGCAAAACCTTGAACACCATACAGACGAGAGTACGACTTCATTCATTTCTACCCCCAATTTTGAAACAGCACACAACGGGGGACAGGTCTGAGGGTCTCCCATTCTAATAATTATGTGCATCTCCAAATCAGATGATGGTGGTTCAGTGGGTTTACTAATTTTAACACTTTTTCATTTTTGACAATATTTTAATTACTATATACAGAGCGTATTCTTAGGCCGCCGCCTTCAACAAGAACAAACTTTATTCTCTTACTAAGCGAGCAACAGCGCCCTCTAGCCTTTTTCTTCAAATTACACAACACTCCCCACCTGAACTCGGTGGAGAGTTCATCTTTCAATAATATATTCTAGAATATTCAATTAATATTTCGACAATAAATCCTGGAGAAATGGTTAAATATAACAAACATGCATACATAATTATAAGCACATAAAATTTTACAAAACATTAAACGATATCTATCAGCAAGGTCAGGAGAATCAAACATAAAAGTACAAAATACAAACATTAGTTAAGTTCCATATTATATAACAATTGTATAGGCCTTTTTAAGGTACCAGTAGGTGTTTTAATTATGCAAGATCTTATTTTACCATCTCTGCCTGGCATTAATTCCAAAATTTTACCTATTGTCCAAAGATTTCTGGGATGTTTGTTGTCATGAATCAAGACAATATCGTTGATTTTAAACTGAGATGCGTTAGAGTGTGGAGGACAAATATTGGCAGATCTCAGATTAAAAGGATACTCTGATCTCCAACGCTTCCAAAAATGATTTGAAATATATTGATGGTATTTATATCGTTTAATAATTGAATTTCTTGACCCAATCAAATTATTTGATGTTATTTTATTAGCAGGCAGAGATAGCAATCGTCTACCAACCAGAAAATGAGAGGATGTTAGTGGAGAAGGTTCATTGGGATCGGTAAACACGTAGGTAATTGGTCTACAATTAATCATTGCCTCGATTTCAATGAGCACTGTTTCAAGCTCTTTCACAGTAAGGGATGATCGACCAATAATTTTTCGCAAGCTGGATTTTATGGTTCGTACCATACGCTCCCAAAACCCTCCCCACCATGGACCCCTCTCAATAATAAATTTCCAATTTATGCCTCTAGCAGAAAATAATTCTTTCACAGATGAGTCACTCAAAGTTTTAAAAATATGTTTTAGTTCTTTATCAGCTCTTTTAAAAGTCTTGGCATTATCGGAGTACACGGTGGTACACAGTCCTCGGCGAGCTAAAAATCTTCGGAAAGCTAGCAAAAACTTTCAGTGCTGAGATCAGTTACTATCTCTATATGTAAGGCACGAGTGACCGCACACGTTAACAACAGCATGTAAACTTTACCACCTTGCCTGTCTTTCGTAAAAAATGGACCGGCGAAGTCCAACCCGGTCACAGCAAATGGAGGCGACTCTTGGATTCTGTCTGGAGGAAGTGGAGCGATATCCTATTTGCTGATGATAGTCTTAACACGCTGTCTTCCCTTAATGATCCAATATTTGTCTCTGATCTGAGTTAGTGTCGAATTAACTCCAGCATGGAATACCTTTTCATGCGAGTCCATGATGATCAACTCGGTGAACTTGCATTTAGAGGGTAATAGAATAGGGTGTTTTAAATTCTCGTGACAGTCTGCAAATTGAATGCGACCTTTCAACCGAAGAATTCCCTCCTCATCAAGCCTTGGATTAAGGGAGTAGATGGAAGAATCGAGAATTGATTTTTTATTTGATAACTTAATTATTTCCACTTGATACGATGATTCTCGTTGCGTAATTTTTACCCAATAATGTTCAGCTGCTTTAAAATCTCAAAAGCACTTAAAGGTCCATTCTCTGTAGACCTTTTCCGAAGCCTCCCAATAAATCTAAATACATAGGCAGTAATTCGAAGTAATTTTCCTAAAGAACTGAATTTTTCTATATGCAAAATTGGGGATTCATTGTTAATTACAGGTGCAGTCAAAATAATACTTTTTCTTAACTCCAACGATTCTGAATTTGGTTTTTAATTTCTTTTGTTTTGGAAAGTTTTCAGTAGGAAAACGTAACCAGTGTGGCCCATGCCACCACAGATCATTCTTAACTTAGTGACTGAGCACTAATTCCTCGAGTCAGTAAATCGGAAGGATTTTGTTTTCCTTCGCAGTGGTTCCACAATTTTTTGTTGCATATACTCTCTGTATTTCTGTAACACACGATTGGCGATAAATGGTTTCCAATTATTTGGCGAACCTTTAATCCAAGTAATGGCGATTTCGGAATCACTCCCCCCCCCAAAAATAAACATCCTCAATTAAATCACCAAACAATTTTTTCAAAAATATTTATACATTCGAGCAGCCACGAGTGCTCCCATTAACTCTAAAACGAGGAAGCGTGATTGCTCTTAAAGGTGCAACTCTGCATTTCGACATGATAAAGGAAGTTTTAATTTTAGAATCACTCGTACAATATCTGAAATATGCAGATGGCCCCATATGCTTTAGGACTAGCGTCCGAAAATAGGTGAAGGCTTATATTCATTGGATCGTCATCAAAGAAATTTCTCTGTATCGATATTTCAGTTAAATCATTAAGTTCCTCCCGCCAAATGTTGAATTTGTCCTTAATCTCTGCAGGAAGGACCTCATCCCAGTCAGAACCGGAACACCAGATTTCTTGCATAATAATTTTTGCCCGAATAACAAAGGGTGCAATAAATCCAAATGGATCGTATATTTGGGCGATGCTTTGCAAAAGTTTCCTTTTTGTAGCAAAATCGTTTCCAGTAGAAAAAGTCAATTAAATTTTTTAAATTTAACTTTATATCGTCTTCAATGGAATTCCAAATCATGCCTAAGAAATTCGATTCACTAGTTAATTTGTTGTCTGATTCCTTAATCCCATCTGAGACCCATAAATCGTTTAATGCTTTAGAATTAGTTCTTAATTTTCTGAAATTCATCCCAGCATCCTTAAATATATTAAACCGCATCTACAGATAACCGATATGCATCTTCAAAACCGTTCCTGCTCCAAAATATAGGTCATCGACATAGACAGAAGAATTTAACATTTGGAAAACTGTCCGGCATTTTATCTTTATATTTTCGAAATGTGATATTTTATAGTGGCGGCCAAAATGAAAGGAGATATAGTCAAACCGAAAGCTACGCGACACATTTGCATAATCTTAAAGGAGTCATTATTTTCATTAAACCAAAGAAATTTTAGAAATTTTCTATCACCTTCAGCAATTCCTATCATCAAAAAGGCTTTTCAACGTCTCCACAAAACGCTATCTTAAACTTACGAAAATTTAACATAATGTCTAGTATATTTGGATTTAGATTAGGTCCCGATTCAAGGCAGTCATTTAACGAATTCATGTTCCTCTGTCCTTGAGCTAGCATCGTACACAATTCTTACCTTAGTAGTTTGCACTAGGTCGTATCAACTGCTCGTGCGGCATAAAATATCCCAAATTTGTATCATTATTTGGGGACATTCCTCCACAATTCCTTCTAATATCTGGTTCTCAATTATATTTTTTATATTCCTGAAAAATCTCCGGAGTTTTACTTAGTTTATTGTGAAGGTTTGCGAATCGTTTTCTTAGCTACCTCAAAATTATTTTCCTAGATTATTCGGACTGTATTTCCAGATTAAATTTGCCTCATATCTTCCGTTTTTAAACTGCAAATTTCTTTCAAACTGGTCTATTATTTCACAGTCAATATCGGAATAATCATCAGAATCATTAATTCCCATATGTTTTCTAATTCCCAAAACCTCTTAAATCTTTCAATACAACAGTGTTTGTCATTACCGCTAAATATTCAGAACAATTTTTGTTTGTTTTATTTTTCTCGATTCCTGCGGCAACCCAACCAAACACAGAACTGACTGCGTACAACCCTTCAGATATTTTAATTCTTTCAGAATAAACTACATTCCAGAATTCATCCCCCCCAATTAATATCTCAACACCTATGTTATTTTTTCTTGTGCAATCGGCGATCTGCAACCCCATATGCTCCATGAAGTCTGCAATTTGTTTACTAGGCACACTGATGGACGCCGAGGAAATAACATCCGAGATCAAACATTCAATTTTTATTTTATTATTTTGTTTTTTCCAATTCTGAATTTCGATTTCAACGACCGGATAGGAATGATTCATTGCCTTCGTCGCACCAAATGAATAAACAGAAAGTCTTTCATAACGGATTGGAGTAAGTTTTAAATGGTCGGCCATTTTTTCGCTTATAAAGGATCTGTGACTGCCTTGATCAAGAATTAATCTAGTTAATTTTGATTTATACTTAGAACAGAACAAGCATAAACTGTACAAGTTTGTAATAATATTTCCCTGGCATTACAGTCATTGTTATTATCACATTGAGGAACAGAAGCAATCAATTTTAAGTTTTTAACTTTATTTCTTTCCTCAGAATTCAAAGTCAGAGATTCAGTTTCATTTTTGGAATAACCTTGTTCCGACTTTTTGTTTTTACAAGGGGATTTATTAGTACAAATCGATTCATTGTGATACATACCGCCACATTTATTACATTTAGTTTTATTTCTGCACCTTTTTTGATGTATGAATTTTTTTAAAACAAGAATAGCAGCGGTTTTCGGATCTTAGTTTTTATTTAATTTATCAGAAACATTCACTTCGCATTTAAATGACTCGTGCAAATTATCACAAAAGATGCATTTTCGGTTAACTGCAGCAGTATGAAATGCAGCCGTGGGTGTATTTTTTATATATTTTCTAGTTTCATATTTTGATTGATCGACTCGCGGAGGCACAGGATTTTTCCTTTCGCTTTAATACTACTAGATTTGAAACTGTCCCTGCATTCTATTTCCGTTTTAATAAATTGTGTTAATTCCGAAACTTCAACTTTATCTTTCGATCGTCTTTGCCGATTAAATTCCAAAACTATATCGTCCGGAATTAATTTTAATAATATTGGAATTAATAAATGTCCATATGAGCCAGAAGTTACTTCTAAAGTTTCCAAATTACGAATCGAAACTTCTAATTCGTCATATATTTACGTAAAGCCTTTACGTTAGCAGAATTTTTAACGGCTTCTAAATTGAGAATTTTATTCATGAATGAATTAATGATCAGGTCTTTTTCGACCATATCTGTCCTTTAGTAATGCTACACAACTTATCATAATTACTTTCTGTTAACTCAAAGCCTGCACACAACATTCGAAGCTTGTCCCGTTAAGAATGTTTTTTAAGTATACAAATTTTTGTATTTTTGAAAGCGTTTCGTTTTTATGTATCGAATTTTCGAAACTATTCCAAAATTCATTCCATTGTTTGGGGTCTCCCCCAAAATTTATCAATCATTAATTTTGGTAATTTCAGCGTACTATTCCCACTAGAACTGGAACTTACATGCGTAAAATTCCATTACCACTAGACTGGTTTAAATCAGAACTTTGGGGATTCCTCGCTGGCGGTACTTGCGGTAACCGCATCCTAGAAAACTGCTTAATTTGACTACAAGCAATTATACATTTGTCATTGTATTCTTCGCTTATACTACAATCTTCTTCAATTAAGTTAACATCAATTAACTCTTGTATTTCATCATCAAGCATTCTTAAACTATTTTTCTTTTCGGTTAATAATTCAAACAATTCTCGTAATTCTTTAATCAAATTTTCCTCCCCCTTCATTTTAATTTATCTTCAATCACTTTAATTAACCTAGTAACAGACGATCTCAATGTGGAACGTTTACGTTTCAATCTATCTAACTTTTCTTCCATTTTATTTAATTTAAATACACCCACGACAGCAATAATAAATACTTACTAATGTACTACAAATAATCACTAAATAATTAATTTAAGATTTCCCCTACCTTTATTTGGAATTCCATTGTCACTTGAATATGAAATATCCATTGAAATCGAAACACTTGGATCGAACACCTAAAATCTTCACAAAGCCTTAATTCCTTACGCCGATGCACCATTTAATAATTTTGTGCATCTCCAAATCAGATGATGGTGGTTCAGTGGGTTTACTAATTTTAACACTTTTTCATTTTTGACAATATTTTAATTACTATATACAGAGCGTATTCTTAGGCCGCCGCCTTCAACAAGAACAAACTTTATTCTCTTACTAAGCGAGCAACAGCGCCCTCTAGCCTTTTTCTTCAAATTACACAACACCCATCCCTCTTCCCCTATTACCAACCTCTTGAAAGCACTTTGTGCTTGCTGCATATTTAGAGTGCCCTCATGCTGCATAAACACGATACATTTACCAACATCTGTAAATGAATTGTGAAGGGCCCGGATTCAAACCTGGGCCATTCAGTATCGGAGTAGGGCTACCCTAACCACTACCTGGGCGGCAAACTTAATATATATCACAGCAAAAACTATATGTTCTTACATGCAATATCCTTATTCAAAAATTAAAAAAAAAAAAAAAAAAAAAAAAATACATAATGTACTTCAAAGATACTTTGCCTCACAAGAGGTAAAAAATGGCATCCTCATTATTATTATTTTTTTTTTTATTATGAAAATGACGGCTATTTTAAGAACATTAGTCTTAGCAAAGAAAAAGATACAGAACTTAAATTAAGTTTTTATTCAATTACAAAAAGTGAAGAAAAGGCAGTTATTTTTATTTCTTTAATACAGTTTTAACAAAATCATATACCACAGATGGAATGTCACAATTTGAAACATTTCTATAAATGCTACTTTAAAACGGCTAAACTCTTATGTACTCTCAATTCAAAATTAGATGGTCAAAGCATCTAGTTCAGTATCACGCAAAAAATATTGCTGTCAAAAATTAAATAAATCATTCTTACTTCACCTTTTTTCAGACACAATTTACTACAGAACACAGCCTACCTAGAACACTTTTTTATCATTGCATACATCTTAAATAATTAAATATCCTAAATAATAATTTAAATAGATAAAATGGATTCTATAACCTAATATTATGCAATATGTTCCAAATAAGCTTATATTCAAATCTTAAAAAAAGCAGCTAATTTGAATCAGGTTGATATACTGAAAATAATGTTTATGTTTAATTCTTAGGTTGCAAATTTTGTTTAGGACTATTTTGGAAGGGGCATACAATATCAAATTAGTCAAAAAGACATACTAGAGAAAGAGCAAATAAAGAACTTCTATAAGAATCATATGTAAAGCATATCTCTTTGTCGAATTTTACATTATGCCATTAACGAATGTATATACAAACTAGCTAAAAAATGGGATCGGACTATATTGAAAAAAGTGAACTGTGCCTGCATCTGGCAGAAAGCCAGATATAACACTGCCAGCATTGAGAATGCACTTACTTGGGGCCCAATGCAGTATTTTCATATATTTGCTAATAAAAGCAGTTTTGCACTGAAATTCAATTTAAGTATACTTTTATTTTGGATACCTTGTATACAAGCTTACAAATACTTTTGTAAACAATAAAATTAGGACAGAAACATAAACCAGCTACATTTAAGATATCAAGGTTGAGAGAAATTATATATACAGTCAAAAGTCTTTAATCCGGACTCGTCGGGATTTCGGCGATTCCAGATTGTCGGTTTTTCTGGATTATAGATCATCATTTAGAAAACTGCAACCAGAAAACTATTTGAGTGTATTCGTGATATTTATAATGACGAGGAATTTGATTTAAATCAAATCATGTCAAAGGAGTACATCGAGATGAAATACTACATTTAGTAAGGAATTATAAGCCGAATAAAATAAAAACATCTGCCCTGAAGATAAGGATAGCGCTGGCAGATCAACTCCAGCTAATTGCCGGACGCGACGCCCCCCCTCCCCACAGAGCAGGTGAAATTGATAAACAGATTTCAGAATGGTTAGAGAAACAAAGGATATGCCTTTATCCATTTTTTGCAGGAATTCCACTTTTTGTTTGAAACATACTTTCTCTTTGTAGATCCATTGGCAGCTCCAGAATCGGAAACTTTTTTTGACATAATCGAAAGTTCAAGCTTACTTTTATAAAACTGCTTTTATAGACTGCTCTAACAGTCTGCAAAAAATAATAAGCCGGCTCCAATTCAAAGATTAAGGAACAACGCAATCTGCAACATTAACTGAAATGGATAATTAGATAATTTTAGCTTAGCTTATACCGTCCGTTATAAATTAAACGCGCATGTGTAAAGGTATTATGCGTGTGCATAAATGCATAATGCGTTTATGCATGTGCAAAAAGTTTGTAGCTTTGAGGTCCGGATTATAGATCATTCCGGATTAAGGACTTTTGACTGTATATATAAACCCTGATATTTAAAGCAATACATAATTACCTGGCATGCAGAGTGTAGGGATTTGGCTGTTGCGAAGGCTGCTGTTGGTACATACTTATGTTTTGATAATGCCTCTCTTCTTGCACAATGGATGCAGGAATTGACTGCACATGAGGAGAATGGTGCACTGGTGGTTGATTTTGGTGCATGCTTGGATGTGCAACAGGTCGACTATTGATATTATTTGGAGGTCCTGGATAAGGTGGTGGATTTTGATCATCCACAGGATTTCCATATGGAAGTCTTGGATCAGCAGGTATATCTTGTCTAAGATTATGTGCTGATTTAGAACGAGAGTTATGATCAGAATATTCTGTTGCTTTAGGTATAGAAGCAGTACTCGATGTACGGCTATATGCCGGATTGTACATCTCATGAGAATGAATGCTGCCATTAGTTTGCATTCTCATGTGGTCAGCTTCATGGTTACCTATAAAGCAAAATAGATTCAAGTCACTGAAGAATAAGATGCAATTCATAGTAATCTAAATCAGATTTTAAAGAAATAGTCCAGATATTTTACATTCACTGAACTTTAATTCTTATGCATATTTTTAACTATTAAAACTATAAGTATATTTTGGTACTTTCTGATTATTTGTACCCTCAGAAACAGTCGTTAATTCATTGGAACTTAGTGAATTGGTGGAAAGCATTTGTTTACTTTTTTTATATTTCAAAAGTGCTGTTCTGTTCACAAATTAAAACAAAAAAATTTATGAGGGCAAAAATATTTGGCATATAAAAAACACTAATAAGTGAAATGACGGTTAAATATAAACAGGGTTTGCACACATTTCTACACACAGAAATTAAGTACTTTTAAGGACCATTAATGAAAAAATTAAGGACCTATGAGCAAATGAGGACTAAATAAATTCAATTAAAAATACCATCTGTGCCTGAACTTCACTTTTGTAATACCGTCCTAAAAATAAATAGATCCATAAGTAGGATGAAATACTATTTAAACATAACTTTTTTTTTTCCCAATGGTAGATTGTGAAGAATTACAGATGTAACCCAGTCCATTAATCTATACAAGGAGGGATGTGGTGGTCTCTTTATTATGGAGGCACCTAATAGGTAGTGTAGGGTTTATATTTATTTTAACTAACATTTATTTTAAGTTTAAGCTATCTTTCCTGTCAAGCCTTTACTTTCCCCTGGAATTGCCAATGCCAGAGTATGTAAATCGTAGTAGAATGCGCAGAGTATTCAAATTTTTAGCAGAAGTAAATTGAGTTAAGTAGAAGGGAAACGAGATTGTAGGTGTGCTTCTTGAATCACGAGCGTGAAGGTTGCTTGGTAGAAAGTTTAAGAACCGCACGTTTCGGCCTGTATGCCTATTTCGACAGTTCGTTAAATCTTTCAAATTCTTAATCAGAAAGTTTGCTGAATCTCAGCTGTATCTTAGAACACAGTTAAGATGGTTACAATTATAGAGCCTCGTAGATAGTGACTTCCTTAGTTGTGCATCCTGTCATTTATTTTTAGTTGTACTTTTTCTATTTTTTGTTTAACTGCTGGGTTGGCGCAGTTTGAGAGCGTCGAGTGAACGCAACTGCGATTTCTAAAGTGAAATAAAAAGGGAGTTAAACCCTTCTTAAGAGTCTGTGTAATTTCCAGTTCATAGCAGTCACTACTACTGTTGCTGACAAGTTGGGGCCTCCCAACATCACAATAGAATGAAATAAAATTTTACGAAATTTATCAAGTAGCATTAAAAATATTTTACACTTATAATAGTTGGGACATTAGAAAGAAGATAAGCAACATTTTATTTACGTTTGACTACCAGTTAGCTTTATGTTGATGTTTTCTTTTATGTCTCATTTTGTCACATACTTGCTCAGACTAGAGGTTTAGAAAACAGCAGGTAGATTTTATGTTGAGCAGCATATGTTAAATTGAGAAGTAAAATCGGCTAATCTTTGGAATATGGTAACAGGTAGTTTGGTGACATTTTGGTAAGGCGATAAAGGTTACTAGTTAGGACTTTAGCAGTGTACATGGATAAAGTCAAGAGTGTGCGCAATGCCATTTTTGTGCAATTCTGGGATGTTTTTTTAAGTGAAAATAGATCGACGTGTACATGGATGATATCGTGTATGTGCAATTCTTAGAAACACGGCAAGCAATGGGCGATTCTGCATATTGTCCCAATTTCGTCATGATTAAGCACTTTTGTTCCATAAAAGTTCTAGCATAAGCGTAATTCGGCTAGCCCATTGTTAGAAAAAAAATGTTGAGTTAAAAAAAAAAAAAAGCCCTTTACTTCGTGAAAACAAAATGGCATCAAACAAAAACTAGCAAGTTGCTGTAGCAGGGTTGGTCGCCAAATTACCATAATCCAAAGATTAACCGTAAAATCATAATCAGCATGATTTGTAACAAAAAACGGGTTGTTGTCACCACTGCTGCTTGCCTTGAGAGAGATCTGCTGATCAGAACAAACCTGAAAGGCCTGATGTAGGCATGGCTGGCAAGTTTTGAAAGTTAGTTGGGCCCTGTCTGATGCAGTTAGTGTAGTAGCTTTCCGCAGAGTTCCAGAGGTTGTAACCCAGTTAATTTACTTTAAGTTTTCAAAGGCCCCAGAGGTGATAAGTTGTTTTGTATTATTTAAACTCACGCTAGATGCGAAGAATAAGCTTTACTTTTTTGTGTTTTATCTTGTGATCACAATAAGGATTAATGAAAGGCAATAACTCGCTTAGAATTAGAGATAATTTTTAAGGGTAAGGAGTTAGTTATCAATAATTAAATTAGGTAGTTACTCATTATAGATTTACATGGCCACTAGTAAATTTATCTTTTAAAAATATTTGTTAAAAATGCACTATTAAAATCACAATCTATTAACATGTCACAGTTTAAAATACATGTAATTTATGACATAGATTCTTAAATGATAATAGAATAATTACACATTAAAAGCTACAAAACGTGTAGCAACAGTACTCAACAAAATATTTATGCGTCTTTTTAATTTAAAGCTTTTGCAGACATTCAGGCTAAGTTACATCAATTTCCAGTGTGGATAATCAGAGAGTACCTACATTTTATATGTCATAAACATTATAAATGTGAATAAAAATGAAATCAAAATCAATAACAATATACCAAAATCTAAATAAAAAAATTACTAAAAACATTACAAGGGAATTTCTGAACACTGAAAAAGTATGGCTGCTTATAATGGTTAAAACAAAAAGAAATCAGAAACAATAACTATAGAAAATGCATACTGTATTCCACAGATATTCTACTATTTAAATTCTAAAATATATAGCTGAAAAAAACTTTTGGAACATAAATTTCCAAATACACAACAACACTACATATTTTATTAAATATGTTATGCAAACCAAAAGCATTAGAATGCCATGAATTTATAAGTGTACGGAAAACAAGGCAACTTCAACTGAGAATTATGCAAAATTCAGCCCTAGATTAGCACTTACTTTGGAGAAAATGTATTTAAAAAAATTTCATATTATCCCCACTTTTCCAGTTTGTTCCATAGCAAGAACAAAAATGATTATTTCCTCTATTATCTTTATTTGATCAAAACTAAGAAATTCTGGTAAAATGGTCAAAAAAAAATTCCCCCCCCCCTTGGGAAAAGGTCTGTGTTAGACTAGCCTGATCAAAGGTTTATAAAAAGGTAGCCACCATGCACTCTTTTGTAATTTATGGAATTTTAAAGAAATTTTTCGATAACTAACAAAGACTTTTAACAGAAAAAAAAAAAGAACTTTAAATGGCATAACTGCCTTCTAAAAGTTTAATCACAATGAGGTGGATGCTTAAAAATTAAAATACATTTTCTGAGCTTCGTGCATAAAATTTTAAAATATCATGCATCCTATAAAAGTATTTTTTATAAGAAACTGCTAATTCTGCCTAAAACTGCTAATTTTGACATGAATGTATACACAAATTTAGCATAAGATCAAGCCAGTTTTCCTACATAATAAAGGTTGAAATTTATGCTATAGTATGTAATTTAATTGAAAGCTGGAAACTACTGAATAGTCTTATAAAAAAAAATTTCTTTACTTCAACAGCATTAATTGATTTCATAAAATTTTATGCCTAATTTAAAGTGCTTTAATTAATGTATAAAAAATTCAGTGTCTATTATTCTTGAATTTAACAAAGAAAAGAATCCATAGCAGGGTAATGCTTTTAGGGACATGAGAGTTAATTTTCTCTAGCAAAATACAAAATATTTTTTAAATTTACTGTAATACTCAAACATTTTATTTTTCAAGGTTCTTTGAAAGTTCTCAAGAGATATATATGTGTGTGAAGTATATAACATATTTCTATGTTTTAATTAAATTTCAAAGATTGTGGAAATGAAAATAGGAATAAGGGGAACAAATTCTACCAACACAATGGCATACATATTATACATTTGTCATAGCAGTTCTTCGTTCCACCCATTTCTACACATGTGGCACATATGTGTTGCTGTCTAACTGAATCAAGAGTTCTGTCACAATAACAGATGCATAAAACTGCTCTGTTGGATTTATTCAAACTGAAGGACAATAAAAAGCCTAAATTCACTGCAAATTGAGAAACGTCAAGAAAACAATGTTCAGGTCATGATAATGTGCATATATGGTATCAAAATATTTAAGAAAGATTAACATAGTCCATTAGAAGAAAGTTAATTTTAAGTTAAAAGTTAATTATGATCACTAATGATTTTCCTAAACTTCAATCTTGACCTTTCTCATTATTCACAAATTGACTTTCAAATCATGGATTCTTACTATTCAGTGATGGTACACTCTTGCTGCCCTGCATTCGAGGAGGCATTAAATGGCCTGGAACAGCAGGTAATCTACTATCCTGTCCATTTTCATTCATTAATCTTGAAGGAATATCTCTTTCACTCATTCGACGAGGTCCTATGCATGAAGGAGACTTGTTGAATAAAGTGTCTTATGACATAAATAATTAAAAAAACATAAATAAACTCAAGCAATTAAAAATGGAAATAAAAAGTTACAAATAAACTCTGATTTAACTATTGTTGACAGACAATTGAAAATTATCCTTGTACTGGGATTAATGCTAAAACCAAGAATCACCATAATTCAATTTTAAATACTGAAATACAGTAAATAATGCTAAAATATTTGTTCTTCATAATTATCCACTCTCTCACAGATAACAGAAGTATTACTTTTAAAAAATATTTTTAAATGCAGATTCAAGCTGTTAGTTTCATGTGCTTCTGGCCAGATTAATGAAAACAATAATTAACATAGAAAATTAAATTGAAGTAAAATATAAACTTTATACAAAAATCTGATAAAAAAATTCCTGCTCTGCTATTTGTAATACATTTAATAAATAAATAATTCAATTGAAAACTATATACTTAATTAAAAAAGAAGTTTTATTCTTTCAATATTTACCAAATATTTAAAGAAACAGAATAAAGAAATTAGATAACAGCTTTAGAAGCACACTTTTAATTTAAAAGGCCAGCTATTTAAAACCTCAGAATCTAGTTTCACAGGAAACTCAACTATGACTCATTCCAAAATTTTTTCATTTAACAAAAACAGTTGAGTTATTTTAGTTAATGAGATGCTAAGAATGCTAAATAACCAAATTCTAAGAATGCTAAATAACCAAATTGTCATTTGATGTTTAATTTTTTCAAAAAAATTCTGTTTCATTTATATAAGTAATTTTATCAATTTGCAATAAATAATAAATTGCACATTTTCAACTGTAACAACGGCATACAACTGCTTTCATTAATTCCAAAAGAAAATTTAAACACCAACACGTAATACTTATCTGAAGACAAGCACACTAAACCTTTCATTTTAATTTCAAGCAAATTAAATCTTTAATTGAGAGCTTTATACTGTTAATTTAATAACTAATTCCTTTTGGTCTTTGGAATTCAGGTTCAGAATTTATTCTCTTTCACTATGGAATTTCTTAATACACTGCAATTTAACATAAACGATTCAAATTTAATTATAAAAATTTGCAATACAAGTACAGTTTCAAAAGCCACACAGCCACTGATAACAAATATTCTACATTGCAATTCTTTTAGTCTAAACATATACTAAATACAAATTTTTGTTAAAAAAATTGAATGCCCTTTCCATTTTACACATACAGTTAACTAAATTATACACACAGGAATTTATCCTGAGGAGCTTATAATATTAAGTAGGCTGAGCAATATATATACACAGACATATATAGTACCTGAAGCTTCTTAAAATCTCTCCTGTTTTAAAAAAACCTTTGGATTTATTAAGTGGTTCAGTTTAATAGACAGCAAGCAGTATTTTAAAAACTGTGATATCAGTTTTCACTTTTCAAGTAAAATTATGACTAACAAATTTATTAATCAATACAAAAATAATAATTAAAAAATGAATGCTAAAATTAAACTATTTATGGAATATTAAAAAATTTTTATAATTATATTCTTGATAAAATTTTATCTTTTACAAATTACTGTTCTCTCTGTGTTTGCATTCTCAATTTCATAAGACTGCTGATAGCTTTTTTGATTAGCACCTTTCTAGATTTGAATGATGATGGTATGTCATCGCTTCTTCTGTATCACTTTTGAAGGCAGCTGCTTAAGTTCTTTTACACATTGTCTCAATATTGTTGTGAACTGACACATATTCTAAAAATGAATTTCCATAATTTCTCCTTCATTGATGTTTCAAATATTAACTCCAATTCAATTACTCTGAAGCAGTGGTTCTCAATTTTTTTTTTTTTTTTTGACTCACAGAGCCCTTTTTATAGTTAACTGCTCTAGTATAGCCCTTTAGGCCTATCCTATGTCTTACAAGTTAATGATAATAGGCGAATTCACAGAAAGGGAAAGCAAAGTAAGGAGATATCTAAAAATTGTGCAGTATCATGTAATGAAATTATAGTTAAAGATTTTTATGTTTATCACAGCATATCAAATTGTTCTCAGTTGCATACTTACAAAAATTAGCCATACATAAAATTTCTACCGAAGTTCAATAAACTAACTCAGTTGTGTTACAATAGATACTTCTAAATTACAGTATATTACTTTAAAAAAAAGTTAAATGAAACATCTGTGACTGGCCCCCCTTTTTAAAATTTTAGGTTCAGCTGTCAATAACTGCATGTGAATGCCTTGTTCCATTGTTTACAGGTGCTAATTGCTTTATAAATTAAAATTCTGGATTTGCAAAGATTCCTTAATGGTTTTGGTACCTATATAAGCAATGAATCCTGCATAAAGATGTGTTGACAAGAACGATAGCTACACTAATGTTGCTTTTCACACAACATTTAAAATTCCTCTTGTATGCAGCCAAAACTCCAACAGATTTTGGTTTCGTATTATGATTTTTTAGTTAGCTGTCGGATGATATTCGAATCATTATTCGAAGTTCAGATTTTGAGCGTGAAGGTGCAGTTGCCCCTCGCTCCCTATTTTTAACTTCGCCTCAGATCAGATAGCCTGGCTCAGTAAAAGTAGGCGGCCAGTGTAACTCTGATTAAAATTCCGGTTATAACCACGTGCAGTGCTGATAAGGACCTCGTGTTTCTGAGACTCCTTCCCCTTTAGTTTTCTTCTTTCTATGTATTTCTTTCTCCTGATGAGGAGGGACCTTTAGCTGCCCTCGAAATCAATTGAGTGTTTCAATATACTTATGCTAAATACAAGGTTGGTTTTACGATTTTGATTCTCTCCAAGCATTTAGCAAATTTTTGAAAAAAAGCTCTAAAAATAGAAACGTTTTATTTTCATAATCGGAAACCATTCTAGAAAAGCAGTTGCAATGTTTTTGGATTTTCTATCTTCCCCCCCCCCCTGTTTGAGTAAACTTCAGAATGCTGCTTGGAAAATTCTGTTTAAATGCAGTTTTCCTCTGGCTGGAATTATCAAGAACTTTACAATGTTTTAACAGTTTATCCTTTTCATTCAGGCATAAATTTCTTTGCTTGGCAGTCCGACATGTTACAAGTTAAGCATGAAACAAATTAAAAAAAGCTTCCTCCAATGATTTCTTCAAATTTCAAAATTTATGTTTTTAGCTAGCAGATAGATTACCCTTTCTTTGCCTGTTAAATTGATCTGCCCCCTCATGATTACAAGCATGACAAATGTTTTACTTGCTTTTGACTCAATCTTCCTTTCCATTGAAAGTTAATGTGCAGTAATGATTAGAAGCATTCATTAACTTTTTCTTTTTTAAAATTCTTGTGAACATAATGTAATCTGTCTCAAAGGGAAGATTTTAAATGTGGAAACCTTAAAAGATAAGATACAAAAATTACATTTTTACCTTTTATCAGCTAGTATTCCAAAAGGAGCCTGCACTCATTTACAGTGTTTCTGCAGTACTATTTTTGTTAACCTTAAGGTAAGGAAATTTTGCATCTCTGAATTCCAGTGCAGACAAAGAACTCTCGAAACTGTGTTTCACAGGTACAGGGACCAAGGGTATAAAATTTTCAATCCAACTTATTTTATAGAAATATTACAAACCTAAATGTTAAAACCATGGTCCACTTATACATTAAATGAATGACCTATAAAAAGCTTTGCTAGAACAAGAAAGATATTCATTTGGCTCTGCAGAATCAGTCTTCTGCCAAGCAGTTTTTCCATTGATTAGTACGTATTTGTTGGTCCTGAAAATTTGAACTTGGAACTGAACTTCAGTGTTTCAATTTTTTAAAATTAATTATGATTGTTACTGATCTCTCTTCCCTAATCCATTAGTCTACAACCTTATTACAAGAATTTGGTTTCTTCTAGTGAATTTATATTTTATATTACAAAACACTAGATCTACAGTTAATTGTGCTCTTTTCCTGAGCAATTTACAATTATTCCGAGCACGAATACAAAAAGTAGCAATTCCTCCCTTTTTCACATGTTCTTATAAAATTTCTGGATAAGTGAATTATAAATTATACCAATATTCATTATTTTACATCTCTGAAAGATATGTATACAGAAAATCAAAAATAAAGATAATATTTATTGGAAATTTAGGTTTTTGAAAATAGAACATAATAAACACCAATATCAAAGAAAATGCTAAATAATTTGACTTTTGATTTTCAGACCCAGAATAGGAATCAGTGTGAAATTAATGCGGCCAATTATACGTATTCCAAAATACCAATTCATCACATCTATACAAAGTAAACCACATGCAAATATTTGTATGAACATCCTTCAGTACTTTTTTCAAGTAGTCTCCCATTACTACAACATTACTTCACTCAGTTTATCACTTTGTAATACATATAATGAAGAACCTAAAGAAAGTTATAAGTATGAATTTGAATTGTAATGACACTTTCAGAAACAAAATTGTAAAAACAAACCACACTAAGTAGCAAATTCAATGATAAAAAGAATTTTCAAAATTTACAGTTATCTAAAACATTTCACTAAAATTGTGCAGTGCTATTTCAATAGAGTGACAAAGAATGAAAAGAATTTTAAGACAATTCAAGAAAAATAGTATTGAAAATAAAAAAAAAAGTATGAAACAGAGAAAAACTTTAAAAAATAAATAAATAAAATAACTAAATAAAAGCTAAGAATGGAATTAAACAAAATCCAAATCAATTTTTAAACTAAAATCTCAAATAACCAAACCAAAGCAGAGTATTTCCAAGATGCAAAAAAACTAAAAATTATGACGACTTCTCAGATTTAAGAAACATGCAAAAAATGAACTAGATAACAGAAAGCTTGCAACTGTTTCCAAATCATTTTTATGAAAGAAGCATACATACTGTGAGATGATTGTTGTAATGTGTCACTAGTCCAACTTCCTGAACTGCATAATGTCTCTGTACTACTAAACTTGGGTCTTGGAATTCCTAACTTGGATAATACATGTGTTTCTTTCTTACTGCTTTCCTTGAAAAATTCATTTCGGTTTATGCAACAATGATTGTTTACACAATATTTAGCATTATTATTACAATTGCCATTGCTATCAAAATTACTTGCATAATCAGTATTCTTACAGAGCTTAGCAGTACATCTTTCCATGACTCCACAGGAATATGCATCAGATGATTTACAGAAAATACAAACAAACGTATTGAATGTTTCATTACTTTTTGAATTAGAATTCTGTTGCCCACTGCTACACATTAGGCAATTCTGAGGATAATTCTTTTCGACATATACTGTATTTCTATCACTATTAGAACATATATGCATTTTGCTTAAGCCCAACTGACAAAATGGACAAGGACAGTCAAAAGTGAATTCTAATAGAGACTCTTCACTTCGAGGTTTTAACAAAGCTTTCTTATATGAACAAGTAGTAAACTTGGATGGAAGACCAGAACTATAAATGTTATATGAGGGTTTTTTAAAGTATTTATTTCCACTTATTATATTTTTAGTATCTTGAGATGTTGAAAAATTAGTCTGAGGTACAGTCTGAAGGCTTGATGCATGTCTTCTGGATGCAAGAAGGGGACTTTGCTGATAATTCCCAGTATTTTGCCAATAAAAACAATGATCTTGTTGACACCTAGGGGCGCAATCTTCACATCCACTAGGTGGTAATCCAAAAGCATTATATCTTTGCAAAAGAGTAATATCTAACGAAGGAAAGTTAATAGATCACATGAAATAATTTAATATGGTTAGTTACTAAGAAAGGTACAGCAGATATGATTAGTTAAATGAGAGAAAGAAAATGAATAAAAGCACACATGAAAACTAGAGATTTAAACATTAATTGATAGGAAATAATTATTACAATATCTTAGTATTTTGCAATCACTTTTCTAAAACATATCAATTTTGGGCTAAAAGAGCAAAAAATGAAAAATTTCCAAATGAAAATAAGAAAATAAAAGAGGAATGAAATATTATAAACACATGAAATTATTCAAAATTTCAAATGAACTGAAATATGTTTCGGGATGGATCTGCCCCTACCTAAGAAATCTTAAGAATAACAACTAGGGAAAAAATACCTTTCAACAGACCAATACCCCCTTCAATAAACAATTCCCATTTTCAACATTTTTATTTTGGATTAGCATGCATTTAAATTTCTAACATTACTTAAGACTTTCGATTCAAACCTTTCAATAAACATAAACTCAAGATTAATCTTTTGACATAATTTAGTAAGCTTTGATAGCTTTGAAAGTGCATTGAATACTCTAGATTGATCCTATTACTAGCTTATATAATTTGAATATCTAATGCTAATTATTAAATTTATTTTAATAAATCCTGCATTCATTTCTAAGCTTACTTAAAATATGAATTAATGTACCTCAAGTTAAAATACGAATTTGCAATACTTTTTTTTTTTACAACTTTATAATTAGCAGAAAAAAATTACCCCTCTGGATGATAGGAGATGGCTTGCTTAAAATATCTGATAATCCATTGTAAACTGCTCCTTGTTTTGCAACTTCTAGAGTTACTACAGGCCCAGTATGAGTCATAAGTTCTGCAGCCCTAATTTAAGTAATGCACAAAAGCCATTAATATAAAAGCATACTGAACAGTTATGTTGTATTTGAAGTAATGCCATAATTCACATCTTACTTCTCTTGATTCACTCCCACTAAAGAATGACCATCTACTTTAAGAAGTTGATCGCCAGCTTGCAGTCTCCCATCCTGCAAAATTCAAATACATTAAAGGAAATAATACAGGAACATATTTATTAACTATCTTTCAGCAAAGAACTGAGAATAATATAGATTTTTTCATTAAATTAAAAAAAAATATTTTAAATACACAATAGTAAATGAGATATCTTCTAGCAAAGAATAGAAAATAATATAATATAGATTTTTACATTAAATAAAAAAAAATATTTTAAACACACAGAAATAGTACATTATATATATATACTGGCGTAAATTTATGTAAATACTTAACCCTCTGACTGCTTATCCCATGATTTCCACAGACACCATAAATGCAGCAATATTTGCTTATCCTGAGACATCCGTCTGTTATGTCTATTAAAAGCATATCACATTTCAACTTTGAACTAGTAGTTTAACTGTCAGTAATTAGATTTTAAATCACATTTTTGTTTCTACAGATTGCATTAGCTGTCCATTGCATTTCATTTAATTTCACAAAATATGACATATGAAACAAAAAATATGCAACATTTAAGTAATTTTGTTTAGTTATTTATTTGTTACTTTATGGATGATAATTTTAGAGTGCTGATTTTATGTACTGATGAACTTGTGGCCACGTTTTGTATATAACTGCTTATTTCTTGAACAGAATTGCAATCTTTCAATTCTGAATTTAACTATATTTAAATTGTAAAAAAGCTCAACTAGAAAATGAGATACAAGTAAAAATGCTCCTGACAGGCTCCTTGATGACATTGATGATTTCTTGTCAACCTACAGACTTTCTGGAAGATTCAGGAACACACATTTCTGGGCACGATTTTCCCTGAAGTTTCCAGAAACTTGTGAAGCACCATTCAGTGAGTTAGCTGAATTGCATTTAAGAGTTTACTCCGTGGCTGATATTTGCTCTTTACAATGTTTCCCTTGCAATATTTATAGTTATTTATTTTGCTATGCATCATTATAAATTCTTATTAATTGTCGATTTCTTCTAATCATCTCGAGTAATTATTTAGAGAGACATCCATGAATTTGTAGCTCAGAATAATTAATAAATATCTAAAAAAGAATACAGAATAACAGAAAATTAAACATACATATGCATTTGTGTATGATGAAATATATGTAACTCAGAATTATTCCTTTTTATTTTGGCATTTTTATTTGGCTATCTCCCCTTTTCTGTTCTAAATTGTTTAAATAATTTTTCTGGACTGTACTTTTTCAAATTAATTTGTTCATGCTTGCTCATGCGATCATCCTGCATTGCAACAACTCGTATTCAATCACAAATCCAGAATTTAAATAAAGAAATCAAGTCTATACATATCACTGCTACTAATACACAGCCCTTTTTTTCCTGTTTCGGCCTGCTGCCGGCAACGTGCGTTCGCATCACTCCATTTTGCCTACTGTTTTTAAAATGTAATCCATTGTATTAAAAAAGTGAAGGGTTCAAAAACAATATGTGAACATGTTTATGCCCATCAAGAATGTCCACAAATAAATTACTGCATTGTTCATTAAGTCTATCTCCATTGTGTCATCCTGTGAATCTATGTATAAAAGCCTTCCCAAGTAATTACACATAACATCTCATTGTTAACAGCTATCTTCTAATCCTCAAGTAATCTACTGAGTTATTATACACACACATACATATGCTGTATTATTAATATCAAATAAAACTAATGTATGCAGAGAGTGTGCTAATTGGAAATAGTTTCATATAAAAAGATTAATATATAGTTTCTCATTTAAATACCAAATTATCATCTTAAATTAGTCTGCAATGCTTTTATTAAGCTGCTGAAAAACCTAAGAAATAGTGAAAATGATTAGCCTAAAAATTTTCCTTCACAAACATGTACACTTGCATATAACAGCTATATACCCAATAAATTTCATGTAGATTTTTTTTATACTAAAAAAATGAATTTTAGCGACATTTGCATGAAAAAAACTTTTAGCCTCTATGAAATCTTAGGTTTTATATGAAAATGCACATTCTATAAAAAATATCTGTGATGGAAAAGTGGTGCATTAGGTAAAAAGTGGAAGATAACATAATGAAAACAATATCTACCAAGTATGAAATATAAAACTGAGATAAGAACAGTAAGGTTAGTGTAAATTTTATGTATAACTGCAAATTTTGAAGGCAACTGGCATAGATCCCTCTTCAACGGAAGATAACATAATGCAAACAATATCTACCAAATATAAAATATAAAACTGAGATAAGAAGACTAAGTTAGTGTAAATTTTATATATAATTGCAAATTTTGAAGGCAACTGACATGGACTCCATCAAAAACTTTCAACCAGGAATTTACTTCCATGGAAAAACTTCTCAAATTTTAAAATCATAATTAGAAACCAAATTAATAATTTGAAAAAAAAAAAAAAAAAAAAAAACAACTGAAAATGAAAATACTAAATACAAATTGGAAAAAATTAATGCAATTAACCCAGAAGTAATTTTTCATGTTTATTGCAGGTACACACACACTGTCGCTTTCCTCCCAAACTTCTAAAATGATACAGAAACAACATGCACACATATACAAGGAAGGAGACAACACCAAAAAAACATTAAATAATAAAAAAGATGCAACTTTCATAACTGGTTTAATTTTCTGCAACACGATCATCTGTATGTATAAAAGGAAGAGTCTATCTGTGTATGTGTGTTTGTCATTCATGCTGCACGTAAGCTAATAGACCCAGGGCTACAAAATTTGGTACATAGGTGCTTCTAGAAAAGAGCCAGTGCACTTCAAAACGATTTTTTTCAAAATTCGAATGAGATTTTTATTATTTTATGTTTTTTGATGAAATCGCATCAAATAGATACTTCTCTCTTATTATATCAGCAGTGATGCCACTTGGAAAAATGAGGCCGATACGTCGGTGCAGTTTTTAAATTCAATGTTTCTCTTGGAGACTGGACGTTTGTCGAGAGAAGGCAACAGGAAGTTGGTTAATTTATTTATTAAGATAATTAATATTTGTATTAAAGGATATTGCTTATTTCATTGTTATTTTTTAATATGTAATATGTTTTTATTGAAATTTGTGTGTGTATTTTTAATATATATATATAAAGTTATTCTTCAGAGTACAATTCTGGGCAGTTTTTGAATTTAATGTTTGGTGTTCCCTTTAGGCATTTTTCTGGTACATTTAAAAGCCAGATGAAGGCTGGCCACATGGTGGCTAGTATAATACAAAACTACATTTTTATTACTTACTAAATCAGCTGCTCCTCCTTTCACAACAGATTTTACATATATTCCAAGCTTATCTTGATCTGAGCCCTAAAAATTCATAATGATTAACATTAAGTGCAACTTTAAAAGTATATTTTATAATGTATTGTGCTATTTGGATACATAAGCACAGCATGAACACTAAATCAAAACATACCCCCGCAGCAACTATGCTTAAACCAATTCCATTATTACTTTTCTGAAGACGAATAGTAACCACTTCAGGCTCATGTTGTTTCCAGTTATTACTACCACCATCTTCAGCATGGCTATGAACACTTGGACTTCGTGCCTAAAATTTAGAAATGTCAAAAAATTATATGAAGAATATGTATATTCGTACAACCAATCTCCAAATTATAATGAATTACTAAAATGCTCATTAAAATGCATGATAATATGACAACACAAAATGACTGACAATAAAACATTGCCTTACTACCAATAATAATAATAAGATTATCTACTACAAAATCAAATACAAAATTTATTTACTTTCCATACATTTGTAACCAGTGAAAATGGCCATTAATTAAATAAAGCAATATTGAGTAAATGAATAAATTTTTTTTTTTTTTGCTTGCACCATACTTTATTTGCATAATATTATTTATGCAACTTCAAGGGGTTTCACCTTTAAACTCTATAATAAGCTGAGCACATACATAATACTTTCTCATAATTAGCTCACTTGGATGCAACATTCTTGTTTCAGTTTGACAGCTAATTTTCTGTGACCTTTTATTAACTTGATACAGCACATTTAAGTTAACTTTACCTTGTAATATATTCAATATAAATACATAACTGCTTTTCCGGTCTCGAACAACTTGTACTGAAAACTTTTCCATTTGGAAAAATTACTTTTCCATCTATTAAATATGGCCTAAAAAAAAAAAAAAAAAAAAAAAAAAAGAGTGGATCTTAATTTTATGAATGAGTTCTCTTTCTTTTGAAGTAACAAAATGACCTAATCTAATAGCTGAGAGGAACTACACTGACTTGTACCATTAATGTCTTTGGTTAAATAGAAGGCATACTGATAACAACTGATATGCTTTCTATTGAACCGAAGACATGAACATCGGCCATATAGCAATTCTTTTCCCTCCTTCCCCCTTTTAAACCAGAAACGAATATACTACCAGAGAAAACAAAAAGGCTAACTAATTCCTCACAGAGATAACACCTTTCTTGAGGCTAAGCTGTTTTTATCACCAGACTTTCACACTTTCTTCAGTCTAATTTCAACTTGAGGCCATTTGAGAAGGTTGCAAGAATGCCTGAATCCACACACATGTATAAACAAGACTGTCAGATACTAGAAATAAATCATTTGAGTTCTTTTCTGTCTTGCTATGCAGCCAACAAGAATTTGGAAGCATGTTAATTGTGAAAAATTACAGATCTTCATCTTTTAAATCAATTCAAGCCACCATTGCATGCACTTCACTGATCTTAGGACTTACTAATGCATTTTTGAAGCAGGAATGTTCCAAAACTGCCATTGTCACTTTCATCAATTTTTGACAATCAACTCTAAACTGTGATTTCTAGTGTCTACTAAAAATTCTAAAATACAGAAAAACCTAAAACACTAAATACATTTTAAAAAGTTAGATAAAAAATTTTATAATCAAAATTAAGAGTTTCAACACAAAGACAAGCAATTTGACCAACGGGCAAGAGACAAAATTTTCAGTGCATGAAATTGTGCAACTTTAAAGGTATATTTTATAACGAATTACTAGGTTAAGTCAATGTGGGAAAAATGGTAGCCTTGTTAGGCCTAGCGTCACTTTTAAACTGTTGATGATTCTACCAATACTGCATGCAGATTAAATAAAGGCATAAAATTTTTAACCAGAACTTAAGACCAACATAATTCAATCACTTTTAAAGCAAAAAATCAGGCATGAAAGTGCAAGTTGGGAAAAAAAAAGCTGAACAACGAGTGGACACAAAATTACACAAAAACTAAAAGTGCACATGCGATCTAAAAAACATTTTAATAAAATATCAGCCTTTTAATATTAAAAAGTATTAAACATATAATTAAACTAAAATAATACTTGTACTTACTATTTTGCTATTAATTTTATCTTCCACTTGTTAAAAAAAAATTCAGTAAATCGACAAGAGATTGTAATGAATTAACCTTCTTTAAGATGCTCTTTATGTAACTTAACAGTTGATACATGAATACTGTACACAACATTACAACACACTAATATACATATTTACGTTATATATTACTGCCCATTTTCAGGCAATGACAAGTTTTAGAGATAAAATATATATATATAACTGTTACTATAGTACTAATTCAGAAATCAAACAACAAATTCAGCGTTATATTTACAAAATTTTCACAGGACTAGTTTCGATGGTTTTACCGAACCACCATCCTCAGCTGCAAAACCGCAAAATTTTTTGTTCGATTTCTGAATTAGTATTTATTCGGCGTGTTACTATAGCTTACAATTATCTTCACTTTTAGTTCAATAAACAGTACTTTATATAACACCAGAAAAAGTAGTCATGTGAGATAATATAGTTACAAAATAACATATAGTTAAAGGAGGAACATAAAAAATAACTATTTTGTCTCTCTCACTCAATCCTGATTAAAAACTTTTAGGGAAAAAGCTTTTCTTTTTTTTGCTACTTTTGCAGCCAACTTTTCTAATTTCTGTTTGCAAGCTAGTCTCAATTTCTTTTCAGCAGCTTTTATACAATCCATTGATACTTTTTATTTTCTTCTTTATTTTCTGCAATGTTTAATTGCTTTTTTTAGATTCTCACTCCTCCTTTTTTATCTTTAGCTCTTCTTTGCACAGTTTATGAGCATTCCTTAAATTTTTACAGTTTTGTGTACTGGAGAATGCAAGCAGTCATCCCTTTTAAAAAATTTCAGAGCTGACTTATTGCAACTCAAAAATTTGTATTTTACTGTTTGTATAGCAGACAATGTGTCTATATTCATGCGGACACACTCCTTGTCTAACACACTGCTCATAGAACTAAAAGCACTCTCAACTTGTGGCTCACGGAAACAACTTAAAATAGCTTTTACTATTTTGGATAAAGCTAAATAACTGCCATCTGAAAATACTTTTGCCCACCACTCATCAAGTCTCATTATTTTTCCATCTATATCTAATAGTGAAGCTAATTTTTTTTTTTTTTGGTGGTATTTGGTATTTATGCACTTCTAAATTATATGAAATTTTGTCATCTTGTGTCAAAACATTCTGGATTAATTCAGGCAATCTTTTTAACTTAAGTAAGATACTATGGTGACCTCTGGCTGTACGATCAATTTCTGATATGCTTTTTAATAATGGGTTTTCAATGGCAAAATCTTCTGCAGATATTTTGCACAGCTGATGAAAGCTTCAGTGGAATTTTTTAAAAATTCTTTAACATACGTTTCACTAAATCTTTTTGAAATAAGTGCAATTGTAGCTGCTCCTAAATACATATTCTTTGGGGTTAAAAGATTAGATTCATCTGCAATATCTAAAGTCAAAATTTCTGAGATAGATTTATTTTGGAGAAATTCTGACTTAATAAACAGTGCTAAAAAAATCAATAAATAGCTGCTTCTGCTCATCATGCAATTTATGTATTAAAGGCTCTTTCCTTTGAAATAGACAGAGATACTTTTTTAATAATGGCAATACAGACACATAAAAATCCATAATTAATTGCAGTTTTTTCCTGTCATAAAATAATTTTGAAATTATTCTTTCTTTTTGTTTCCTCCCATCATTTGTCAAATGCTTTTGCAGTAAATACCTGTGGATATTCTTAATACACTCTCTGCTTTCATTGCTTACATTTCTTTGTTTATAGATACTGCAACATATATTAAAATATTATAATCTGTCATGCTAATTTAAAAATCCATAATAAAAAAATGGTTAAACAATCAAACATGAGTAAATTACTCAATGTAACATCATATATGGACATACAGCAGTGTTTAATAAAATGTTCAATAGCAGTATACTTGACATTTGAAATCACACATATTTCCTCTAATTTTTCTTTTAAATCAACAGACCACTTAAAGTTATTATATATATCTCGTAGGTAATCTTCTACCCACCCACCAAATGGTTTAGAAAATAAATTGGATGCATTATGTATATGATGGCAAGAATCTCCATCAATATCTAACAAATGAGGAGCCTTCTCATTGCGAAGTCTCACCTCTAATCCAGACCTCTCATTATATTGCAAGAATCCATCAAAACAGACATGAGATCCTCAAATGGCAGCTGATTTTTGTCAAAAAGAGACACAATTTTTGAAATAGTTGTTCAGCAGATGCATTAAAAATATTAACAGATATTAAATGCTTGGCCACTACTTTATTGTGTTCTGTAGAAAACTAGCTGGCTAATATGCACAAAACTCTCATTCGATTACTACTTGTACCTTCATCAACATTTAATGAAAATTTAAACTTTTTAAAATTGTTCACAGTTTCATTGAAAAATGTTTTTGAGAGGCCTAATCTCATTTTATATGAAGCAGTAGTGCAAGCCATTGAGAGCTGTGATAGTGCCTTCTTATCAGATGATATTGCTTTGGCCAAATCAATTATCACATGTGCTACAGTATTAGGCAAATTATTTTCAGCCATAACTCCAAGCAGTTGCCCTCTAAGCTGGAAACTTGATCACAAATTGGAATACTTGGAGCTGCTAATTTTTCTTCTATTTTTTCCTCCTGCATGCTTACTTTTGTTTCTGTCAAAGATGAATATGATGATGGCATCCTGTAATTATCTCTTTTCACTACTTCTCTCCCACAATGTTTTTTGCTTTTGATATGGCTGCTAATAGCAATATATCCCCTTTTTCCATAATATATTAGATCAGAACACAATGCACACCTCACTTTTCCACTGATATCCACATCCCCTTTTTCCAAATTATATTAGATCAGAACACAATGCACACTTAACTTTTCCACTGATATCCACTTTCTGAATGTAACTGCCAATGACCACTTCCATTTCTTCTCTATTCACATGAATTTTTGCAATGTTTTTCAGCCATGCAAATCTGAACTTTTTTTTTTTTTTTTTCTTCATTATCTACACGCCGAGCTTTATGCTCATGATTTGGATATAATATATTCATACTGAAAAACTTACAGCAACAAACAAAAAAGAAATAACATAACGATCTATATGCCAAATTACAGTATGCCACTTTACACACGCCAAAGCTTGCACGTGCTCTGGATAACATCAGTAGGGTATCCGTATGTCCGACA